GATATCAACATGAATTATTTCCTAGTCCTGAACGTATTGATAAAGTAAATTATCTGTTGTATCAAAAAATTCCATAAGATTACTTTTTTTCATTGGTGTTACTTTCGTACTAACATCAACTGATGGTTCTTCTTTTGGTGGAATATCAGTTGTTTGCCAACGTATTTGTCCGATACTTCCTAAACATGATCTAACACTAATACATGAATATTTTTGTGAATTAATTGTCCAACGAATTATCTTTAATAGATTCATTTCATCTAAAAATATTTTTTCTATTATTGTAACCTAATTGTCATTTTTTAATAGGAATTTTTTATTTTGCATATTCTTATCACAATGAAATAATAGACAAAAAAAAAATTCTGTCCTTTTAGAAGAATTAGAAAAACAAAAAGAAATTATACTGTACATTGTATGAATACTAATGGACGATAAATGAAAAACTTATTTTATCAATTTAATTAACAAAGATAAAAAGAAAAAAAATGGAATACATTCATTGGAATATTGAACGATAATAAATTGAAGATAAAAAAAAAAGAAAAACCATTCAATAAAAAAAGAAGCTTTTTTCTTCTGTTTGTTGAAAATGAGATTGTTACAAATAAAAAAGTTTATTTGCAAGTGTCACACTAAAATCTTGATGAAGACTTTGACCAACTAAAAACGCTAATTTATGAGCATATTGACAAACAGCTAAAAGAAAATATTATTTACAATGATTTTAAAATATTAAATACAAAATGTTTTCACCTGGTACTCGAATTGTTCCTGGCCAATTGTAATACAAATGACATCTATAGTAATAAAAAAATTTGAATTATTTAAGAAAAAAAATCAATCATTCAATATTTACAATTTATATGTTAATCGTTGCATATGATCAACTTTAAAATTTGTTCGATCCCAAATAACACTATAAAACAATATATTTTATTTTAATGAATAGAAAAAAAAACAATAAAAACATACTTATAATGTGTTGGAGCAACTGTTCCTTGTCGAGCACATTGTGAGATTAAATAAAAATCATACCATTCAGCCTTAAAAACAAAAGGAACATGAATATAAAATTCGTTTTTTATTTTATTTTATTTTTTGATAATTTACACTTGTAACAGTATGATCAATAATAGTTCCTGGTTGAGGATTTTGTATATTACGACCTTCTTGTTGAAAAAATCGAGCATTACCACGTTTTTTTACGATAATAACGGCTAGTTTTGGTTCATAACCAGACATTATCTTTGGAAATGTTTCGATTATTTGTGGTAATTCATGTTCAGCTACAATTGCTAATTGACCATCACTAACACCATCTCGATAAAGAACAACTAATTAAACCAAAACAAATATATACATATATATATATATATATGTTTTATTTATTAAAATAATATTTAAAAGTTTACTTTTTTCTGGTAAACAATTATTATTTTGATAATATTCTTTTAATGCGTCTAAATATAAAATAATAATAAGTTTATTAATTCCTATTTTTCTCTTAATACCTTTCATACAAACAGCTAAACCATCCATAAGTTCTTGTGCTGTACGTTGATAAATAACACGTGAATAAAATTTTGTTAATGTTGGATTTGTTGATGCAACAAATGCACCTACAGATGCACCACGACGTTTTGAATCTAAATAAAAAAAAACGAACACTTTCAATACAATGATTCTAATATTCTACTATGAAATGTGAGAAAATTGTTTTAATTCAAAAGTCTGTCTATGGAAAATTATCTAACCTTCGCTCGTAAGTCTTGATGTGAGAGGGGCTAATTCTCGCCACTTTTAACGTCATGTCTGCAAACATTTTGAGCTCTTATCAGAAAGCTGTCAGACAATTTTAAGACAGCAACTTTTCTTAATCAATTTCTGGCAGACAGACTACCTCCGACTGTCTGTCAAATCCTTAGCCTCTTGCACTTCTAAAAACCAGCGAGAGCACTATCCTATCGTGTAAAAGTACTACTCTTATCCCACTCTACAAAGCTTTTATCGTACCCTGATTGAGAAAAAAGTTTTTAACTTCTACCCTACGGTGTACATCTTTGTCAGATAGATATATGAAAATGATACATCGAATTTCTCAATTACCATGATATGAATCCATTCCAATAACCATTAAAGTTTTTGTTGGAATTTGTACACCCCATACTTCACCACCTAATTTCGCATTTATTTGTATACCAATTTTTGTTGCAACAGACATTAGTTGATTACGCCGTGATAATGTTTTTGTAAGAACCATCTAAAATTAAATGATAACTCATTCAATTAAAAAAAAAGAAAATTTTACCTGTGATGGTACAGGATTATCAAGACATAAAAATTTTTTTAATGCGTCATAACGATCTTTTCGATTATTAGATAGTACACATAATACAAGATCTGTATTACGAGGTATAGAATCTTTTAATGCTTGAAGATAAGATTCAGGTCGATCATTTACTAATTGTTGTCTAAAAAAAATAGTTTTCAATATTGCTCTGTCTTCACTTTATTTGGTATTAAAATAACTTACATATAAGGATATTCAACATGCATTCCTATTGAATAAAACACAAAGACAACATTTTTTTTTATCAAATACAAGAAAAAAACTATGATTTAATTTAAAAATATTACCGAATGGGTTACAAACTTGCATAAGTGCATCAATAAGTCCTAGTGAAATTTGTTCGTCTCTTCCTGGAAATACTACAATCCAATGATTAAGAGATTTAGCACTAATATGACGCATATTACGACCGTCACGACTCCAATCTATACACAAAATAAAATGTCTATTTCATAAAAATTTATATTCTTTTTTAATCCTTACCGGCCTCGTTATAATTGTATCTCACAGAACGCTATAAAACCAAATAAATAATCAAAAAATACACAAGTAACGCAGCGCAAACGCTGCTAACCCTCTACTGAAAGGATGAGTTGCATCGAAGAAAGTATATTAGAAGTAATATACATGAGAAATGATTCGTTGACAGCACGTTAAGGAGCGGAATGAAACGAACCATTATTCTTCAAGAGTTGGAAATTTAGATTCCCATATTCTGTATCCCCAACGAAAAATGCATATTCTGAGCATGTTAAAAATATGCTCTATATTTCCATGATATCGTCAACATTCTCCCTGATCGCTTTTCCCAGCTAAATATTCTCATAGCATTATCTACATTGCATCTTTAGAATACTTCAGACTACAAAGACATCTTTCATAGTATATGACACCATACTTAGCAAGGATATCTGAAACTCCTTGAACGGCAAGCATACCCAGAAAACGAATGCAATTCTTCAGCAGATACACCTATGAAAGCTGTGGACAAACTTTATATAAAAAAAAAGTTTTCTAAAAAATCAAAACTCAAAATTTTGAAAAACTAATAACGGATTCGAGTTCCCCGACTCCAAAAACCTTTCGAATAGTTTTTAGGTCGTTTTCATGCGAGAGGTCAAAAACCCATTTTTTTTGTTCTGTGCGGACGAACGGACACACATACACACGAACGAACGTAAGCAACTCATTTCGGCGTGTAAGATCCTCCTTTCAGTAGAGGGAATAAATAAAATAAAGAAAGACATTTACATCAAAATACAATATATGTTCAGCATCAAGAATTCGTGCTTCAAATTTTACTAGATCAGTGTCAAGTTTCAAATTCCATTTAGCTAATTCATCTTGACATTCATAATTTCTATGATTACAAAATTCCAATGATTATATATATATATATATATATATAAACATACTGATGAATATCAGTCACAAATTGTCGAAGACGATTATAACGAGTATTAGCATCAACATGTGTATGACCAGCAATTTCTTTCATAAAATGAAAATCTGAACGCATTACATCACTAATACCTATGAATATTGAAATAGATTAAAATATATAAATATGAAAAATGAATATTTACCAGTAACACAACATAATTCAGGTATAAGTAAAAATGGTGCATTTACACCAGCTCGACGATCTTTTTTTGATGGTTTACTAACTAAAAGTGGTTGTCCAGGATCGTTTATTTTCAATTGATATTTCTATAAATAAATTAATATTATGTATTATGAAGACAAGAAAAAAAATAAATTAAAATACATCTTCATAATATTGAATAAATGAACATTGTGAACCATCACGCATTGGAAACGTTTGCAATGGAGAACGATCCCATGCTATTTCGTCTATTTTATACGTTTTGGAATTGTATGTTGTCAGCACAATCTAATAAAAATCTTTATATTGTTTAGAATTATTAACGTATACTCTTTTGTATATGATATACTTTTCTTAAATATTAATTCAATCAAACGGTTTAATACTGAGCGAAAGCAAAAAACACAGTATAATATATTGTAGTTCTGAATGCTTTCTTTCTCTACTGTCAAATGCAAGTAAATGTGATGAATAATCAGCATTATCTCTCGTTAGGCGCATTTAGATACTATCAAATGATGTTACAAACAAATTATGAATAACATGAATTTTACTCTACTGGCTTTCGGTAGTTACTGAAAGTCGATTTCGAAAATCAGTACAACGAAATTTAATATTCTCCAAATCATTGAGCAACATCTTGACACTTGGGTTCTTTCATATGGCAACTTGTCTATTGATCAAATCTTTTTATACATCATATTCTTTATACTTAACTATGAAAAACCCGTTTACGATCTTTAGCATTCTTTTCTATAGTCATCGGCAAGCACTTGCTTCGAAAATTATTGTCTATTATATATCAATAAAGAGTTACACCACAAATATAGAAAGATATGTGCCATTGAGAAATAAACAGAGAATGATCTAATAAAGCATTTGATTTAATAAGAGATTGAAAAAAACTAAAAAACAAATCAAACTCAAACTCATTGGGTTTGAATTTTTCTATTAACTCTAGCACATAGTCTAACAATGTTGCTGAAATTTCTCTTTTGACATTCTCTCGTATCATTCCTCTACTTCAATTTTCTACTGATGGAAAAATGCTGTGTCACGAAGTTCAGTGATTAAGAGCGTTTTCTTCATTTAAACGAAAACGATTCAAACGATTTAGGTTTATGTCTAGTATCGACTAGATAAACCTTGTAAAAAAATTTACTGTGATATTAGTCCAGTGATTGATCGTGTACACACAGCATAGGAAAGTTCCGTCCGAAATCTTTTTTCAGTTAAAAAAAGGCCTCTCAAAGAATAAAAACTTCTAATCGAAATGCAAAAAATCAGAAAGATATTTCTTCCAAATAATTATTGTTTACTGAAAGTACGAAAAATTATTGTTCATCTCGATCATACTCTATTTACCTGACCAACTAACTCTTTGGTAGCAGTATCTTGAGCATGTTTCACATCTTGATATTGGCTAAATATATCTTGTAAACGTTGATATACAGTAGTTTTATTTAACACCTAAAATTTTTTTAATTTAGACGGAATAATTTCTAAGAAAATAATAACCTTATGAGATAAATCTACATTAACCATCAAAGATCCTTCATAAATATTAACATTTGTCATAAAACCTGGAAATAATGTTAATTTATATCGATCAAGATCAATTTTACGATCAAACTGATAATAATTGCGACCGACTAAATCGTATAGAAAAAAACCAAAAAAAGGTTTAATTAATGAATAAAACAAACAACTACAAAACTAACTTAATTTCATGCCCGATAATTCAAGTAATCTAAACATAAATTATTAAAAGAAAATCATAGATACATTTTAATACAATCATACTTTCGAACAATAAGATTAGCCAAATGAAAAAATATTGGTGAATCAGGTGAATTTCGTGCAACTTTCCGTAGAACAACTCTTATTTCTTCCGATGTTGCTGGATGAGAACAAACAAATTCTGGAAAATCACCAAAATCATCAAAAGTATAAATTGTTGTACCATCAAATGCTACATCTTTAAATTTTGTCTATAACAAGCAAAAAGAAAAGAATTCTTACCAAAACAAAAAAAAAGCATAAATTCAAATTCCATACTCGATGTTGACTAATTATTTCACGTCGAAAACGTTTATTTTCAACATTTGGTATAAATTCAATATGATATTGAAAAAGTTCCCATTGAGGTTTTGTTAATATTTTTATATAATTTGCTATGATATTAACTGGATCACCAGCCGTACCTTAAAAACAATAAGAAAATTTAAAACAAAAAACCAAGTAACAGAAACGATACCTTGTTTTTCAGTTGTTTGTGGTTGAGGTTCCGACATACTTGAATAAGGTATTGATCGAGAACTTGATCGACCACTACTTGAGCCCACACGCATGGTTGCAAATTCAGATGTTATACCTTTTACACCACTACCACGAGGTGCTCCTAAAAATAAATTTCAATAAATAAGTTTTATTTTAATTATTAATAATCATACCTGGCATTACTTTTGGTGGATTTCCACGGCGAGGTTTTTCCGCTCGAGATTGCTACATGGAATAATACATCAAGAGAGAAACAAAAAAAAATTTATTTCGCAAACCTCATCAGGCGGTATAGCTTCACTAGTCTGTTGTGGCACATCACTAATCTCACTTCCTTGAGAAATAAATGATGCTATTTCAGAATCGGGATAATCTTGTAAACCACCTGGTGTATCGGTTTCTTTTGATTGAATGGGTCGAGCTCGACCACGTCCTAAATTAGAAATCTATATTGATAAAAAAGTGAACGAACATAATTAATTACCTCGTGATTTGCTAGATGAGGACATCGTGATAAATTACTAACGACGAGCGGAAAAAAAATTCGATGTTCGATGAAATGATTGGATCTATAATTAGTATATAGGTGGCATTCTATTTTCAGTTGAATGTACGGAATCGAGAGAGAAAGAGGATCTGTAAAGTTGATTTTATATAAATGTTTTTTAATTCTAGCCAATACTATCATTTAGAGATAACAAAGTCTTTATTCTCATAATCGAGACAACCAAAGTTAATTAGACACATGTTATTTATAAATCAATTTGATTAGCTAAAAATGATCGAAAAATTTCTTAAAATATTTTTATCTTCTTTCTTAGATCGGATAGAATTTTCAGCCTTAGTAATCAAAGTTTTCAACTATTGAATTTATTTTTTTTTTCAATTCAGAATAAGAATGAAAGAATTGATAAATATCAATTTGAAAGATGAATATCTTTCAATTAATAATTTAAATTTAAAGTATGGATTTTGTTATGAAAATACGAATGTCGAAGAAAATACCAATTCACTTGCAAAAAACGAAACAATCTGTCAAAATCTATAACAAATTTTCTTATGAAAAATATTTTCATAATTTTAATTAACATAGGTCTTATTGCAAAAAAAAACAAAAACAAAAGTAAAGATAGTTGACTTGATAAACAAAAGAAGCAAGAAATTGTATCATATCCACGACACAAAAAACAAGCCTTTAATCGATTAACACTAAACAAAATTATTTATAAAAAATTAAAATTATAAACACTAACAAATCTTATTACAAGGCCAAATGATACATCTTCTACAGATAAGTATTAAAAATGGGTAAGACAACGTCCGTATAATTCAAACATAAAAACAAAAAGATTCAGAAAAAAACTGCGTGCAAGTATGTTGTAGTTAAAAAAAGACAAGTAAAATAAATCATATTTCAATTGTTCAAATAGAGATATCCATTTATAAATGCATATTCGTATCGCACGAATAGCCTCGTCTAGGTCGATTATCATATTTGAAAAAAAAAAAAAACAGAAAAGAAAATGATTTTTATTTTATCATTATTATACTGATACGAAAATGTTTCTTTTCACGTTTTAACTTTCTTTTCATTAATCAAGTAGAAAGAAAAGAAGAAAAAAAACATCCGAATAGACACAGGTTTGTTTTAATATAATACAAACATTAATAGAATAAGGATATTCAGAAAAAAATGTGTAAAACACATCATTAATATCTAAATCTTCGTCATAATTTAAATAAATTACCTAAAATTAAATACTGATAAATCTATACAATAGTAATTTTTTTTATTTAAAATAATAGTAATGAAACTACAACACAATATCATCAATAGATATGTACAGGCTGGTATCTAATAGCTGCTATTCAATGACCAATAGAAAACTTTTTCGTTCGATACGCCAATAAAATTCGATGTGTTATACCTCTGTCAGGATGTAAATATTAGGTCAAGGCTAAGCCAAAAAAAGAACTTAACATTTTTTCAATATTCAATATCAAATAGATCATTTATAATTACTTCAAAATATATCATAAACATACGAACAATTGAATAAGAACTAAATTTCTAATCAAAATAAACAGCTTATTTTTTTTTCTCATCGAAATGTCATTTCAAATGATTTTATATTTGATAATATTCTTCTACTGTATAATTCATTTAACAATTTCATATAAAATCATGTAAGACAGATGATTTTAAAAAAATCGATGACGTTTGTCAGTTAAATATTGATTCCATTTAGCGAATCGTCGTTTTGATATTAAATGAAAACTATTTAATATGAAACGAGAAGATTTAGAGCGTAGACCATGAAATGATGAAGATATTGATATTTTATTATTATTAATGTTTCTTGAATATTGACAATTTAGATTAGATGTACTAAAATTGTTTCATATAATTCATTATGAAAGTATTAAATGAAAGAAAAGAAGTAAAATCTACCATTGAATTGTATCTATCATAATTTTATTATCATTCGAGGAAATTTCTTCAAGTTTATCCGTCGAACAAGTAGGTGTTAAGATAAATTCAACTGATGTTACACTAGGAGTTGACATATTTTTTGAAAATATTAATTGATTACTATCTGATCGAAGATTATTATTGATAGATAGCATGTCTAAATATACTTGTGTATCTTTAGGAAATTTCTTGAAATATGATATACTTACTCACATTGACCATTTTTAGTTTATTAAAGTCCGGTTTTTTATGTGAGAAAAATTTTCTATCCGCTGTATAAAATTTGATAGGTGATGATAAAGAACGATTAATAACAGTATCGTACGATGTTGATGGATTAATTTCTTCTTCGATATATAAAGAATTTGAATCTCTTTCATCCATTTCGCTCTAATCAAAATTTGACATAACATCAGATTTAAAAGTTTTCTACTCGATAATAAAATATGAAAATTTATGGGACATTGATGAAAGCAAAATATTAATAAAGATAAAACAATATCTATTTAATGAGTTCAATATATCTATTAACAATGTTACATAGGATTGAAAAAAAAAAAACTTTGGAATCTAAATAGATGATCAAACAGAGAAAAAATACTTTTGATCACTAATTTTGTTTTCGTTGTGATTTTTCATTATCTCTTCTGAAATCCTTCTACACAAAACTTCTCCTCAACATTCAACACTTTTTTTTCAAAGATGAAACAGATTAATGTATGATCAAAGTGATTAATGGAACGGTTCTTGACAGCTACCTCGAACGTGCATGATACTGTTTTTCTAATATTTTTGGATTCGCTGACTAGCATACTCTAAAGATTTCTCAGACGACGAGAGCCCATCGAATCCCAAATTTTCAGATCGAGATCCTAAATGAACTCGATGGGCTCTAATAAGTTCATCAAAAAGTGTGAGAATGACTCTGTCGTCGGTTTGGTGCAACATCTACACTTCATAAAGAAAATAATAATATGAAATCAATACTAAAACAATTTCATGACCAAAAATATTGTCATCCCTGAAATGAATGACTCTGCTGTTGAATAGAACTCATTTAATCTGTTTGATAGTTTCTATCAACCTAACTGATAATATTTTATTGATGATATTATTACGCAGATTCTAAAAATTTTTTTCAAAATTAATAACTCACAAATGTTTGCGTTACGTCTACATTTGACAATTTATTGGTAAATGGAATATATTTTCCAGATGTTGTCATATGACGACGATTGCAGCTAGAATTATTTTTCATTTTTTGTTTTGTTTTTTCTTTTATTCTGAATTTCATTTTACTTATATGATGAGATAAAAGCTGATTTTATTGGCAATAATTTCATACATTGATTAGAATTAATTAAACTAAACCAACATTCTAGTTTTCTCCAAATTCGAACTCGAAATCTTTCAAATACATATATTGATCGAATCCACTGATGTAGAAACTAAGAAAAATAAATGAATGAAATTTGTTTTTTTTTGTTTTGCAATTCTTTCTAGTAGTTTTTCAACACATCAATATTCTACAGTTTCATACTCGTTTAACAATTAATAATAATTTTTTATTTTGATTATTGTTCACTTCTGACATAGTCAACTTTCTTGTATAATAAACAATCATTATTCCTGATGTTATTAAAACAAATTTTGAAACAATTGAATTAACATAAAAATAAGTTGATCTCGACCGACCATGACTTAATGCTAGTAACATGATTGGTATACAAAAAAATGGTGATAAAAACAACATTTGTAATCGATTTTCTTGCATTAATCGAAATTAAAAAAAAAAAAAGAAAAACAAAATGAAAAAGAATTTGTTTCCAGGTTACTCTGTTTTCATTTTTCCACAAATAAAATATACATTGTATCTAAACGACGAACAGAAAAACAAGTACGGATATACAAAAAAAAAAAAAAACAGTAGATATTCATAGAAGATTCATTCACTGTCGTATAAATAGCAAGCGGAACAATAGATTCATTTGCTTATTTCTTTTTTTCCTTTTTTTTTTTCAAAACACAATTAGGACAGAAAGACAAGAATATATGTTCGTATAGAGGAATGTATGTATGTATGTGTTCTTATAAACACAAAATGAGAATTTGCACCGAGTTTATGCCAATAACGAATAAAAATTAAAAAAAGACGTGAAACAGTTTTATCATGACACTTCAGCATTAAAACGTCGATGAATTGATACTGGCGTTTTTGGTACACCAAAATGTATTGATAAACCAAGCAAATCATCTTGATGTGCGCGTATCAAACATGGTTCTGATTGTGAACGTTGTAAACGTGGAAATATACATTCAAATTTTGACAATGTATCATCAATCTTTAATAATATATATAAGAATATTTTCATATAAAAATCAACAAACAAACCTCAGGTGCAAAATTTGGTCGTTTTTCATGATCATATTCTATGCATTGTCGAATAAGATTAGTTATAGCTGTTGGCGTATCGTCACGACATTGCTCAACTTTTAATTTTAATCTTCCTTTTCCAACAAGCCACATTATCTATTTAAAAAGAAAATCAGCAGAAAAGAATTATAAATAAGAATGATTCAAAAAAAAACCTAACCTGTTCTTTATTGGTTATTGGTGTATGCGGTAATTTTCCACTAAACATTTCAAATAAAACACATCCATATGCATATACATCAGCACTTGGGGAATAACAATTAGGATCTTTTTGTTGAATGACTTCCGGTGCCTTTTGAAGAAAAAAAAGAATATTAAAATTTCATTATTAAAGAAAAGAAAAATAGAAATTACCATCCAAAGAACTGAACCACTTGGTTGGAATTGTTGATTAATACTTTCAGCAAGTACAGTTTTTACAGCTGCTAAGCCGAAATCACCAATTTTAACACGACAAGAAGCTCCAACATCATCCGGATCAGAAGACATATCCAAAAAGATATTACTTGATTTGAGATCACGATGAATGATTCCACGATCATGTAAATATCTGTTTATGTAAAAAAAAAATATTTTTTTTTCTCTTTACAATCATTCATTTATTTATTTTTAATTAAACTTACGACATTCCCTGACATATTTGTCTTGCTATATCAATTAATTGATTTATTTTCCAATGGCGATCAAGAACATGAATATGTTTATAAAGTGTTGAACCCTAGATAAATTCCGACATTTAATTCAAGAAAACAAAAAACAAGATAATACTTACTTCACACCATTGTGTTACTATAGCAAAGCGTGGTGAAAGAATATAGCCATAAAAATTTAATGTATTCTGATGCGTAATTTTTCTAAAAAAAGAATGATACTAAAAAAAGAAAAGTTTTCACACATATATAAACAAACTTTAGTGCTATGACTTCATTTCGAAATGCTTGAAATTGACTAGGTGTTGGTGAAACAAAATTTAATTCCTTGAGTGCAATTAAACCTATGAAAATAATTATTGTTATAACACGAAGAACAAAAGTTCTTTTCTTATTATGTATTCATACCATGTAATCGTACTTCAGCTCTATAGACAGTACCATATGTACCTCGACCAACCATACGTCCACGACTGAGTAAATCTTCTGCTCGAATTTCCCATTCACTGACATGTTTCTGTTTTTTAAATAAAATTCAATTTTCGTTCAATATAAAAATATTTAATTATACTTACATGTGGTTTTTTTATATCAATAACACTATCACTTGATGGTTTGATCATACTAGGTCGAAGAGTTTCCGTACTAGTGATAAGTGGCCCATTAACAGCTGTAAACAAATACAAAGTAGATTAAAGTAGAAAAACTATGCATTCAATAGGGAATTAAAAAAAAACGGTGCTGATTGATTAAAGAAAAAGAACATAGTGGAAAAGCGCAAGTAAGCATATATCAACATATATAAACCAAAAGAAAAAAAAAACATATATACTGAGAAAAACACGCCCAGAAAAAAAAAGTGCTTAGCGTGTCATAAGATGCCACGATAATTTAAATAAGTCTTACTAAGTAATGACTGAGGCATGTGATGCATCTGTAATGCTGATGATGGCAATGATGAAGTTTGTTGAAAGAATGAACTGGATGATAGTGATGATGATATATTCACTGTTGATTGAATAACATTCGAACAGTAACCAACATTTGATATTGTTGGTACTGGTTGAATACCGTATGAATCCTGACTGATATCTTTTTGTAAACCTATCAACGAATATGAACACAGACCAATTCATTTTTTTTTCTCATAGGTATTCAAGAAAAAGAAAATGAATGAAACGAAAATACATCAACATATGAGAAAAGCAAGTTACAACTCCGTGATACGCATCATACGCACCAAAAATAATAAAAAAAAAAAATTGTTATATATATAGATTTTTATGAAAGCTAATCAAAACTAATAAATTGCTTTTTGTTTTATCTACCTACGCCGCATATGCAGTAACGGCTGCAGAGACGGCCAAAAATGGAATATAGACAGAAGAGAAAAAAGAAATACAACTTTCGTTATATAATATATATAGATGCAATTACTTACCAACTCCTTGATTTGTATTTATACTTGGTCTCTATAATAAAAGTTTTGATTATTTTAGAAATGAAATGAAAAAAGAAATAAACATAATAACAACATACTGGTAATGGAAAACGAGGTAGACTACGTGATGGTTCTTTATTTTTTGTTGTTGTTGTTCGTTCTATATCAAGTCTATTTGAACCGGGATGTTTAATGTGTCTGTTTAAAAAAAAGCAAAATATTAAATAAATAAAATTTTTGTTGTTATATCTGATATTAATAAGACATACTGAAGAATAGGATGAGAACAAATAGGTGCTTTCATATAACAATAATTATGATAACGATTTCGACATGAAACACAACGTTTATGAGTTCCACGAATACGTTGATGACAGACAACACAAGGAACACCAAAAACATTAAAGCGAGGTGTTGGGATATTTTCCTAGAGTTATTTAACATACACGTACATCAAAAGCTTTAACAATAATAAAAGCACGAAAAATAAAAATAATAGAAAGCGACACATTTAGAGAAGAATACCGATAAAATATATCTCGTGATTCAAAACGGCATGAATGAGATTTACGAATACATCGAGCATGTATACGATAACCGCATACAAGACATCGAAGTCCTTGGAATAGTAGTTTATGACATGCATCACAATAAGTTAATGTAAAAAATGTTTTTCGAATCTATGAAAATATTTTCTTTTTCTATCTAATTAACTTTTTAACTTAATACTTACAAATGAATGATCAAGTTTTGTTTTTTCTTCAAGTTCAATTTCTGTTTCAAGGACACGATCAAGGGTTATATCCCATGGACATGGTTGCCTTTCAATCAGAAAAAAATGTTCTTTATATAAAATATTCAAATGAAATGTACCTTGATATCATATAAACTGGCGTATATTCTCTTAAATTAGTTACTGAATGTCGCGACGCTCGTGATTCAAGTGCTACTTCAAGTGTTTCATCATTACGTGGTGCAAGCTTAAAAATAGATATTAATAAAATCAAATAAAATGAATCTCCTTACAGCTGTTGTATGTTTATTTGGAAAATGAACACGAATAAAATTACTTGGTGTCATACTTGGACTACGAGATCGTTGATTCAAATTATTTGCTTGTTGTGATAAAACATATGTAGGTAAAGGAGGTGATGATGGATAAATATGATAATTTTTCTGTTGATCATTTGATGTTGAATAATCATTTACATGTATATCTTTTGAGTTTGTTTGAATTGATGATGTTGATAATTTATGTTGTTGAGGAGATTTTTCTGATGGTGAATATTGTGATTGACCATTTATTGATGATACATCATTTATTGATGATGAATATGCAAATACACTTTCAATATTTTGATCTTCAACTTCATGAAGATATTCTGTTAATGTATCACGAGCTTTTGTTAATATATCAATACGATCAGTCAAACGTTGAAATTCCTTAATAAAAAGAAAAAATATGTATTTATATTGATTTTATTTATTTTTTTAAAATAAAATCTTTTTTTGTTCTTACTTGCATATAAAAAGGTGGTCGAGTTTCACGAAATGCTAAATTATAATTATTAACATCAGCTGTAAGATGTTTTAACATTTTCATTAAATCATCTAATATTTGTCGACATTTTTTTGGATCAATATCACGTTTTGCTTCTTCAATTTTTTCAAATATCATTCGACGAAAACTATCTTCTTGATTATTTATTGGTGATGCTGAACGTGGTGGTGTTGATGATGTTGATGAACAAGAATTATGATGCAGCGGCTTACATGTATCCATTGGAACCGTGCTGCTATTGCCGTTTGTCATACGATTTGCTTGTAGAACCATAGCCATGATAAAACAACGACGACAATATGCCGATCGAAATTCACAATGTCTATGCAAGAAAAAAAAAATGAGAAAGATAACAAAAACAAAAAAAAAAAAAAGAATTAAATAAAATTTTTTACCTTTACATCAAGGGTTTTAGTCATGATATCAATGAAGGATATCTATTTACACGTATATATTTATATCTATAACAAAAATCGAAAAAGGAAGTCAATGTGAATGAGACCAAACATCTAGGCATACAATAATAATATATAAAATGCTTATTAATATAGATTCTCTCTCTTTTTTTTCTTTTCGTAGTTATTTGCTCGAGCATTTTTTGTTTTATTCTCTTTGTCTAGTTTAGTTTTGAGTGATAGAATGTGTGCATATGAAAGAAAATAAAAGCAAAGAAAGACCTAGAATATATGCAGATGTTTAAAACAAATTCCGTGCATATCTCTTAAGTGTTAAAAAGAAGAAAAAAAAGAAAGAGAAAACAGTCGGACTGATGAAGATCGATAGAGCACACTTCCAGAGGAGTACTGTCGTCGCTATTTCCTTCCTTTTTCTTTCTCAAATATTCAAAAAGGTGTGATGCTTATAGTGTACTTAAAACTACTATGACAGATTTCTTTTTTTCATTTCTATGTAGTACGAACATATTTTTTTCATCAAAGTGATTAGAATATATGCTTAATAATCACTATTTAATAATTCAAAATTTCATCGGAGAAAAAACATACACAGAACAGCTCATTGTTATTAAAGAGAAAACATTAGCACTCTCAAAAATGATTAAATTCTATTCACTCCTAGACACTTTTCTATAACAAATGTTTTTTTTTCACATATTTATTCAACTGTGTTGTGTTTCTTTGCAGTATCTAATTTTAATTTAATGAATTCCATACGTACTAAGATATATATATATAAACACACACATGTATGATCTGTTCTACTCTTGCAATTGCATTTTCTAATAAATACCCATATGTAACGTCTTTTTTCATCGACTGTCGCACAGGCGTTTTTTTTCTTCAGTCATTTTTCTGAAACAATTAGTAGTAACTTAGTATGTTTCGTTCTTCTTTACACGCACACACACACGCACACAGAGGACAACGACAGTTTCTGTGTCTTTTTTTTTTGTTGCTTCATACTCTGTTATTTCTCTTCCTCATTTTTTTTCTTTCTCTCCTTCTTCTTCTTCTTGTTCTTGTTCTTAATTGCATAACCCTCTCGCCATCCGGGTGACGACAGCAACATGTAATAGAACCTTGAACAGCTCGAGGGTCGAGCAACAGCAACCATCCAGGGTTTTATATTGATGCTGTTGCATACAAAAAAAAACACAGAACAGAACAAAAAAAAAGAAAACATATCGTACGTGGACAGTGTTGTTATTTTTCTACTTGATGAAGCTAATGATGCGCATATGAGATAGAGAATATTACAGGGTACCTGGGAAAAAGAAAAAGAATAGTCCATTTTATTACGACACAGAACGAAAGGAAATCAAGGCAAACAAAAGTGATGTCTTACTCATAGACAGAACACTGTTCTCATTATTTTTTTATATTAATGTTATGTCAACATTTTTTTCTGCTCTATATTTTTTTTTACGTTGTTTCCAACAAGTGACAATCATATAATAAGATGAGCAGACACACGTAACAAAAAGTTTTAAAAAAAATTGATGATGACTTTTAAAAAGGAAATAACAATTCGTGATATAATGCAAGAAAAAAAATTCATCATGAAAATGAAACTCACGTAGGTTAAAATATAAATAATAATAATAAAAAAAAGAAAGTCTCATATACGTAATTAATCTTACAAAAGAACATTCCCAGGTGTCGGAACACTCATAAGTCGGGGTTTCACGCATCTTGTAGTCCTTAGTGAATTATGTCTACCATAAAAAAAAGTTTGGGTTTCTGGTATATTCTTACTGAGATATCGAGTTTTTAGTAAATTTTCTCTATAGTGTCCCACTTTTGCAGCAAATCTATATTTTTGAATTTTGATCTGAAACTTCGCGTACATAAAGGTTTCAGCTAGGCTAGCTTGCATAGAAAGTTTCAGAACTCTTGGACAAAGTCTCTTCGAGACATGGAACTATCAAAGTTCAGGTCTTTTTTCATAAATAATATATATCGTATGCATTTTTTGAAAGCTTCTTATCTCGAAGGGATTTTGTCGAAAAGAACTGATTTTTTTTTATAGAAGTTAGTCTAGCTGAGACATTTATGTACAAGAAGTTTCAGATCAAAATTCAAGAATATAGCTTTGCTGCAAAAGTGGGACTGTATAGAGAAAATTTACTAAAAACTCGATATTTCGGTAAGAATATGCCAGAAACCCAAACTTTTTTTATGGTAAACATAGTTCACGAAGGACTACAAGATGCCCGAAACCCTAACTAAAAGCGTTCCAACACCTGAAAATATTCCCTTGTTAATGCTAAACTTCAGCCATTATTATTCATTAGATCAGATCACAGCTGAGAGAGAGAGAGAGGAAAAAAAAGAAAATGAGAGAAACGAGGGAGCGACAGAGAACGATCAGTCAGCAGAATAAAAATTTTTATTACTGATTTGTTTAAATATAACACCAATCCAAGATTGAAATGAATCAGATGACGCTACTCGTTAGTCGTCAGCTACTTTTGTTTGTTTTTGTCTTAATCCCATTTCGAATATATTTGCCATGAACAACACAGTCATTTGTTTCACTATTGTTTGAAAAATAAATATGAATACACCAGCATCACCACCAAAAACAAGTGCACGTCGTCAAGGTTCGAGCGATAGAACAAGTAGTTCCTATGATGCTCTACGGTTTTTACGTACGAAAAATAAATGGGGTGAGTGATTTGATTCGAATACTTAAAACAAAAACTAAAGATATTGTATTATTTGTAATTCTAAAGATAAAGATTTTTTACCACCAATATGTCCATCACGTTTTTCAAACCATAATGATTTTGAAAGAGCTTTACAAGATTTTTATTATGAAGTTGTTGAAATAATGCCTGACTATGTTCAACGTGTTCGTAAAGCTTGTCGTCTTATATTTGATGATTTAGTACCACGTTTACGAAAAAATCGTTATGGTATTGTTCTTAATGATCCAATTTTTTGTGATACTTTTTTTGAAAATTTACAAGTTGTTCATATTCAACGTATTAATATACTTATACCAATTACAATACGTCCAGTAGAAAAAGAACGTTTAGATAAAATTGGATATATTTATTTGAGAGTGCCTGGTGCTGTCAATGATGAAGAATTATCACGATATGATCCATGGGGTTTTATGAGATCACGAAAAGATCGACAATACTTATCACCAGTTGTACTTGTTCAATTAGTTCATTCACTTATTGACGAAGCACTGAAAGATCCGAATCCAATAGAATCTTTTCTTCTTGAGCCACTTGATCTTGATCGTCAAGGTGCAGTTATTCAAATTCGTCATGAAGAATTAATGTTTACGATATGTTTATCGTTTGGTGTTAAAATTAAAAAAACTGATCCATATTTTGTTACAAAACCATATATAATTGATGATTATTTACAATCAAAACGAGCATGGCGTATATCATATATCGAGGCTGAAATGAAATGTTTAAAAGTTCTTCATCGTGCTGATCATTTTCGTCATGCTCAAGCCATTAAAATATTTCTTGCTTTAGTTAAATTAAATCGAATATTTTCTGTATTAAATGAAGATATTATAAAAGCTTTAATGGTTTATATATGTGATGATGATCTTGTACATCGAAATTGGAATCGTCGTCGATGTAATGATATATTTTGGTCATTATTTGATTTACTTTATGTTTCAATTGATCAACAAAGTCTTAAACATCCATATTTACCTGAAATGAATCTATTAGAAAATATTGATCGAACGAAATTAGTACGTTTAAAAAAACATTTAGATTATATAGCTGAACATCAACATGAATTTGAAAGATTTTTTAATCGTCGAATACTTAGTTGTAAACGACGACGTAGTCAATCAAAGAATTTATGGGCTTTTTTTGGTTCATTAAGAAATAAGTTAACTGAAGGTGGTGGTGGTGGTGATGATGATGATGATAGTGCAGCATCAAGTGATCAAGAACATGATGTAATTTATGATGAAAATAATATTTTTTATGACAATAGTCAATCAATTAAAAATCAAAATTCTCAATTTCTTAATAATTCTTAATGATATTCATTAAAATTAACAGTTACATTCAGTTTATGAATTTCTCTTTATTTTGTATTTTCTTTTAAATAAATCAATTATACATTACACATTATTACCTACAGTTCATTTTTCGAATCAACTATGAAAAGAAATAAACTTTTGTTGAGTGAATTTTTAAAATGTAAGTTTTTAAATCTATTCAAGACTCTGTATAGCTAAAAACTATTTTTACATTCGAGTTACATCAGAAACCAATATTTACTTATGATTTAAGTGAAAATTATCTGTGTCAATCATATATAGATTACATCTGGACAATGATTACTTAGTATTTTATCTGTAATTAAAGAATCCAAACAAAAGATAGTATGCAGTATCAAATAAGTTGAAACGGCAGTTAGAACATATGATAATGTTCGATATTATCAAACGAATGTCTTTACGAAAAATAAGATCATGGCAAAAGAGCAATTTTCAAAAAATATACATGTGATGATTAATAGTCGTATGAATGCAATCAGATCCATTGATATGCTAATAAACAAGAATTATGCTATGTATTTTCTATAATTCTACGAGACCACATAATATAGTGCATAATAATAGAGGAATGAGAAAATTCGGACTTGTCTCAAGAATCCGTCGCGTTGATTCTGGATCTGGACAAGTTTGAATTCGAAAATTTGGAACCTAATGGGTTCTAGTCGCGTGAACAATATGTAGGATGCACTTGTCGTTGAATACAAAAAAAACAGAAAAAAGTATCTTGTATCTTCGGTGCGACTATCCGACTTCGATTAGAAAATTTTATGGAGACTATCAAACTACAATTCAACCAGGTTCAAGTTCAAAGTTTTTGGACTCGACAGATTCTACTTGATTCGACTATTTGAGTCAAGTTATTCATTTAAAAATTCGAAATTTGATAATTTAATACGAAAATTCGTTACAGAAGAAGCTGATGATTTTTGGCAGGAAGGAAATTTAGCCACTGATCTTATTTTTAAGCTTGTTGGAAAAATTATGTATGTTCCTGCTATGTCATCACCAGTGGAGTATATACTATCTCAAAGTAATCTTTTTATGACACCGCATCGTTTAAAATTTTCTCAAGCTAAGGTTTGCATTTTAACGTCTTTGAAATGCAATAAGACGTTAATTTAAATGTTAATAAAAATTTGTTGTCTGTAAACAACTTTAACTTATGACTTTTGTTTGTAAAAACTGATGTTTTTTTTACTGTCTCATGGAACTGTATGAAAGAGAACGGTTGCTTGTATTACCCTTGCTTTGTTGATAAGGATATAGTAGTTGTATTGTTGTGTTTTATCTAAGGTTGCTATTATTTTGTTTTTGTGCATAAAAATTAGAAACAATATATTGTGTCATGAAAACCCTTGCTGTTAATGTTCTTTATGAAAATAACAACAGAAAAACGAAAAAAAAATGACAAAAATACACTTGACTCGTTCATCGCTATAATGATAATCATTTTTTGATAAACGTAATTTTTTCTCATAGGGCATCAACAGTTTTTTTTCGCCCTGTTGGTATTCTCAAATATCGTTTTTGAACTTAATCCTAAATCTCAAATATCATATTGATTTATTTCTTCAATAATACGATAATAATATCGGTTTACTGTATTTTGTACTAGAAATTCTATGTGAATATTTCATCAAATAAAAGTAAACTTGTCTACATCATCAAATAAAAATAGTATTGGAATCGATTTGATATATGATAGTTGTTGTAATCTATAATTAGTTTATGTGAATCATTAAGTTTGAATAGTTTTTTGTTTTCTCTTCAAAGTAGAGCTCAAGAACAATAAAATAAATATTTGTGTTGTAATGCATAGTTTTCGATTTTCTATCTTCATTTTTTTTAAGCCGGATACCAGTTGTCAACCTTTTTTTTTTTCTTCATATAAATTCTGAAGTTAACATGTTTTTTAAGAAAAGCTAAAACATAATAGACGATTCAATTCAAACTAATTAATAATTAAATCAATTTTGATTTACTAAACTTGTCAAAATCAAATCTCTTATTCATATAAACTAAATCAAATCTTATTCTGCATGCAGTATATATTTTCTTTTTATTGACGTTTTTTTTTGTTTAACGTTATTCGTTTAATAATGGAAGAATAGACAAAAGAAGAGAAAAAAAGGATAAACAAAAGGCAAGAAAAAAAAAAAGAGGTGTCTTAATAATGTTGGTCATCTGTAGAATTTTTCTATTTTGTTCAAATATATGCGTTTTCTCTCTCACGCTCACTATATATATATATAAAATCAGAATAGTGTGTGCATGTATAATAAAGACCGTATATCGCGTACTACATGTTAATAATGAGATAGACAAAAAAAAAAAGAAGATGAAAGAAGAAAAAGATAAATCCAATCGATGATAGATTTTGTTTTTGTTTTTATAAGCACACTATGTCATAAATAGGGAAAATGTAAAGAAGAATAGAAATGAGCACAAACCTGAGCAGCTTGATTTTGCTGTTTGGCTTTATACACACACACATACACACAGAGAAACTCACTCATTAAGGGTTTTTTTCTTCGCGCATGTACAAAAAAGAGAGAAAAAAAATTGATGTGTATAAAAACACAAAAGAAAAAAAAAGAATTTTTTTATGTTAAAGAATTTCTTCACTTGAGTCCATTGGTTGTATATCTTGGAGTGAACTTTGGGATTGCATTTGACTATTATCATCTTCTGTAACAGATGATGCCATATCTTCCATACCAAGTAAAAGATCTTCATCTTTTGAATAAAATTTATCGGCATTTTCTTTCAATTGATTATTGGCACCTTTAATAAAAGATATATATATATATTAAAGAAAATATTTGTTTTCATTACCTTTTGGATCAAGATCCATACTCCATGACATATACATATATGAATAGTGGAAATTTTTTAAATGTCGATGTACCTTAAATCATTGAATCGTATTTTTATAATTTTTCTTAATTAATTAAACTTACTTTACTAAGTAAATAGTAGACAAGTGATTCTTTAGGTGCGATCTGCCGTAGTTCTTCAAGTTCAATTAATGCTTCTTGATATCTTTCAAGATGTAATAAAAGACCAGCTCTGTTAAAGAAAAAAACATATAATTAAAGAAAAATTCAATCATGATAATTCAATTAATTTACTTATGAAATTTGCATAGAGCATTTTTTGAATCAATTTTAAGTGCATCATTCAGTAATGTTAATGCACTTTCGGATCGATTACATTTGTGTTGAGCCTAATTAATGAATAAATAAAATAATATAAAATAAAAAAAAAAAACAGTAATAAATTTTTTTTTTTTTTATATACCACTGCTAAATGACAAATAAGATCAGGGTTTGTACGAAATATATTTGTTGCTTTTGTAAAATGAAATTCAGCTGATTGAAATTTTTCTTGTTTTAAATAAACCATAGCTACACCATTCCTATTCAATACAAAATCAATTTAAAAAAAAAAATATTAAAACATTTAAAAAAAATAATTTTTACCAAGCTTTATAACTTCGTGGGTTTAATTGTATAGCTTTACGAAAACATGCCATTGCACGTTCAAGTTCATCAATAAGTGAATATTCATTTCCCAATAAAGTATATGCATAATCAGATTCTGGTGCCAATTGAATAGCACGTTTGAATGCTTGTATAGCTTTATCATATTCATGATTAAGACTAAGACAATTACCTGATGCACACCAACTCTATTTAAAATAAAAGAAAGTCATTAATAATTTTTTTTCCTTTCGACATTTTAGAAATTTGATATTTCAAAAAGCAAAAAAAAATGTATATTTCAAGTAAACAAAGACCAGATGATTAGATATCTTTTTTTCTTTCTTTGTTTCAAAATAATGAAATTCGATCTTTTCTTCTCGATCGAGCGTTGGTTTAAAAAATTATCATTGATTCATTTGTTAGATTTTTCTCTTGATTTTATACGTGTAAAGCAAAAGAAAAAACGATGGCAACTACTACACCAATCTTAATTTCAAGTACAGCATCTTATGATGAAATATTGTCAACAACAATTCCTGTATCAGCAGACTATACAAATAAATTATCGAAAATTGATAATTCTTTAACAAATTATCTATTAATTGTATTTCCATTATATATATGTGCGATTTTATTCAATTTTTTATCAATTTATTCAATACTTCTGGCCAAAGTCTATCGTCAATATTTAAGTAATGTACTTTTGGCGGTTATCTGTATTGGAGCATTAATTAATTTACATGGTCTAATGTTTTTAATACTTTTACGATGGACAAAAAATGCAGCATCAGATCAACTTTGTTCATCATCAATTTATCTTCGGGATACTGGTTCGATTCTTATTCATACACATATTATACTCTTGGCTTTCGAACGTATTCTTGCTAATTTAAAAAAACATCCAACAAATCTAAATAATAAACCTATTCAACGAGCTCATCTTTTTCTTATAACTATATCATTAATAAGTATCATTCTTTCATTAACTGTTCCAATTTACGCATTCACTCATTCATCTTTTTCATCAGCCAATGGTTTCTGTACTCCAACACAAATAGCATCTTATAAAAAATATTTAAGTTGGATTTACTATGGTTTTGGTCACCCATTTGTATGGTCATCATGTATTTTACTTAGTCTATTTTTTATTCGAAAAACAACAATATCTTATTCAACATTAATTCCAATGAATAGAATTATAGTAATAATTAGTTTTTCAGCGTGTATTAATCTTTTAATAAGTACATTATTTGATGATATTATTGGTATTGGTGATAATGATGTATCAACTGAATTAGATGAATCCTCTGGAACAATGCTCCTTCTTATGAATATGCGTGATTTTATTTCAATAATAGATAAAATATTAATCGGATTATTATTTTTTCTTTTTCGACCAGAAATTCGTTTATGGTTATGTGAATCGATGAAAAAATTTCAATTAAGTAAAAATGAAACTGTAATACCACAAATGTTAGACATAAGAAGTGTAATAGATGATAATTATAATGAAACAGATGATGGAAATATTCATCTTCCAGCAGATGTTTAGGTGAACAAAGAAAAAAAAACATTCAATTGAACTTCTTTTTTTTTTTTGTTTTTTTTTCCATCTTGTTTAAATAATTAAATAAATCACACTTACAGCTGGATGTTTTCGATCGGTTTCAGTTAATTCATGTGCTAATGTTGCTAATGCAATATCATCTTTTAAATGCCAAAGAACTGTACTATAATATTCTAAACCATCAATATGATATGGAAATTTAGTACGTAATTCTCGATAAATAAGTGAAGATTTTTGATAATCATGTAAATGATAATAACAATTAGCTAAATGTGATAAAACCCATGGTGTATCGAGATGTTTTAATGATATGGATTCAAATATTTCAATTGCTTGTCGACATTCAAATTGAGATAAATGTTGTAAACCTTGACCAAGTAATTTAAATACATTGATAATATTTTCAACAATTTCTATAGGAACAAAAAAAAAGAAATTTATAAAATTTTCAATAAATAAATAAACAAACCAGGTGTACGATGATGAGTTGATTGACTTTTTCTTTGTCGATCACGTTTATTAATTAATTCATTATCAACGCCATAATTTAAACTTGTATTATTTGATCGTACTTGTGATCTAGTTGTCATTTTATTTGGTGATTCAGTTGGTGCTATCGGTGTTGTTATACTCATATCTGTACATGGTGGACGTGTTGTTGGTTTTGTAAAACGTGTCGTACGTTTAGTTGGTGCACGAATAGATTTATTTTCCTATGAAAAAAAAAAAATTTTTGATTATAAATTAAAATTATTTCTATATACTTTAATATCATTGGAATTTGGAGTTTGTGTACGACTTCCGACTGTACTACTTGGAGTTCTAGAGGAAAAGACTTTGTCTTTGTGGAAAGCAAAAAACAATGACATAAGAGATTTTTATTCCTACGTTTTTGATTGAGCAAGGACATTATTTGAGGTAGAAAGAACATGAGATTGACCGATTATAGTGCGACGAGTTGTCTTAGAACAGAGAATTAGATATTACGATTTTAAAATTATATAGAACGAATCGGTTATAAAAATATGATTTCTGATTCTTTCTTAGAATTAATGTGAATGATAGAAGAAAAACAAAAAAAACAAATTTTAAACTTACTTTTCGTGTACCAATCGTTTTACGTGCATCACTAAGTGATGTTGATGCAAGTTCATGTGGATGTATAAGTGTTGCTGTTGATCCTGAAGCTGTTGTATCATCAAATCCATATGGTTGTCTTGAGGAAAAATAAAAAGAACAAATAATATTAAATTAAAAATTTTGACATTGATTTTCTTTTTATCTTACACATTTCGAGTATTTTGTCGTTTCGGAGCTAATGGTGGATTACGTAATGATGGAATATAATCAGGTGGTTTTATAGTTGGTGGGGTATATTTATCATTATCTTGTAATTGATCAGTAATTAAACCAATTGGTGTTGATGTTATTATAGCGGAAACATTTGTTGAACCAACATTAAGAATAGAATCAGTTAATTTCATAATAGTTGCAGGTGCTTGTAATGAACGTGGTGGTTGTCGATCTCGTATTGTTTGATTTGTACTTGTATTCATTGACTAGATAGAAAGAAAATTAAATGTTTAAATAAAGAAAAAAAAAATTTTTGTTTTCAACAAACATTATCAATAACTTGATTTTCACTTTGTATATCTTTTATTTGTTCTGTAAAAGGTGTAACACATGTTTGTGGTTGATTTAATTCTGAGATAGATCGATTAGATTTTATAGCAGATGAACAAAATATACTTGTATCAACACGTTCACCTATAATTAGATAAACGAGATAGAGATAAAAACTATGAAAAATGAAATAATATTAAGTTTAATAGACGATGATTATAGCTTTTCGCAAGCTGATTATTTATCTAAGATTGAATGAAAAAGTTTTGATGTGTTGGCTGACCGACAGAGAATTTTTGTTTTTACTTGATAGTTTCCTAGTTTGTGGCTATTGCGTTGTGTACTATGCGTCTATGCTCCAAAAAACAAGATTTTCATCCTATCGAAGTTTTAAATCCGCAGTCAAGAAAAGTCAATTTTTGTCAAAACTATTGAAATTGAGATAAATGCATTGGGAGATAACCAGAGGTCTGATCTTTTATAAACGACAGAAACTTTTATTTACAATTTCGTTTTTAGTTTGCCAGAACTTTCGATGATTTCTGTTTTCTTCTGCTTGGTAAGACATGTTCTTTTTTTCAGAAAAGGTGAGAAATTGTTTTTCACTTTTTTGATCGTGCAATCCAGCATTCTCTAAGGGCCTTCCTTCTCTATATATATATTTAATTTTTTTTTATTTGAAAGATCATGTCAAGATACAAAATATGCCAGAGTTCCTTTTTTTTTGAATTAAGCTTTCTTATTATTATATAAGAGTACTCTAATAATTAGATCGTTGTTTTTTGAGAGTTTTTCGAAGCATTGAACTTTTCATCCCTTTTCTCTTCTTACAAAAAAGCGTCTCGGTCATACGTCGCATCCGCACATACTCTTTCAAACAAAATGAATTGAGTATATAGAATAAAAATCCACAGAGAATTTTTAGGTTGCCGAATGAGCTATTCTTGACCCTTGTTAGTTGAATATCTCCTGACAATGTCATAGTATAGGGCTGACAATTTTAGCATAGCCTTTTCGTGATATTCCTAGCATATCCTAAAAATTTCATGCGCTTTGAATGTACCTAGACTCAGAGTCCTGCAGGATAGAGTACTGCAACCCGCGGGTCGGGTACCCGAACCTGACGTGGGTATCGGGTACAGTTGGTTATGGGTAGGGTAGGATACGGGTACGAAAAGTTGTACCCGTGCAGTAAACCCCTCCCCATAATAAAAGGCCACCCCATATTGGAGGGCCACCCCCATTAGAAGGCCATGCACTAATTAATTAATTAATTACAAAATTATTTAATTTTTCGTAAATATTAATTAATAATTAGCCAAAAATTACTGTTCTTTTGAGAAATCGCTCCATATTCTATCATTGAGAGCATATTTTTATATGAAAACAGCGGTTTTTCCACAAAAAATACCAGAAACACCTCAATTAAAATTATTAATAATTATAATAGTTTTTAAAAAATTTTAATTAATAATTGGTCAAAAGTTGACCTCAATAGAAGGTCACCTAGAAAGGAACGATGTGCGGAGACGCAATATAAGGCCATGCTCTTTTATTCTGGGGAAGGGTTTACTCTATTCCAGATATGTGGGGTGCGAGCCGGGAATAGGAGAAGATTCTAGGAAATTGGAACCTACGGGTCGGGTAGGGTACGGGTACAATTGGTTACAGGTAGGGTAGGGTACGAGCACAGTTGGTTACGGGTAGGGTAGGGTACGGGTAGGGTACGGGTAGGGTAGGGTACGGGGTAACAAATAAGGTGTCGGGTAGGGTACGGGTACGAAAAGTTGTACCCGTGCAGTACTCTACTGCAGGATAAGACTTATGCGTACCCTATACGCTCCCCTACCTTCTAAGGTAGGGTAGGACTATCCTGCAGAACTCTGCCTGGACCAAGATTGACATTGATTTATCTAATCAAGTGACGAGTTTGAGCTCATTTGGTTTTTAATAGTGAAATGCATCAAAGATCAACAAGTGATATTTTCTCAGTGACTTTTAAAAAAGAAAAATTCTATCTGAGATTTAGTATTTCATCAAACAAATTGTTGTACTCCTACAACTGTGCAAGCGAATTTTCTCACACAGTCTATTAAAGATCAATAATTAGCTGTAATCGTAAAAATTTTAATTTTTCTTTTGTAAATATTTACCAAGATGACATAGAGCTTCAAAAGAAGACCATAAAAATGGATTAAGTTTTAAAGATTTCCTATAACATTCACTTGCTTTTTGATGACGATCAGACTTTCTATACAATAAAAATAAATAAGTAAAACTCTGACAAAAATCTCTTAATCTTTAAACTTACTCGCAAACTTTAGCAAGTAACTGTAAAGCAAATGCTGCTTGATCACCATGATCATTAACAAAATCATCAAGTGCAAGCGTATTTATTGATAAACAATTTCCAACAAGTATTGATTCAGCTTCATGAAGTCTAATACGAAAAATATTAAGATATATTTCTCGTTTTGTTTTCTTCTCACACTTACTTATCCGTATCAAAGCAACATTTTGCTAAAAGAATTTTCGCAGCAGGTACATGTTCAATAGAAGAATTACGTAATAACCAATAAGATTTATTCACATCACCACTCAAATAATAAGTACGCGCTAATAAATAAGTTGATTCATCATTTTTTACTAAACCAACAAGTAAAAGAATTTAAGGTTTTGATTAAATAATTTTTATTTTTTACCTTCCGCATAAAGACGTTCAGCAAGAAAAATAGCATCAACATAGTCGAAATTATGAATAAATTGGTTAATATAAACCTTAACGGAGTCAATTGCGACGGACATTTAATTGTTTGAAATAGGAAGATAGGAGAGAAAATTAATTTAAAAAAAATAATGTTTTAGTTGTTTTTTTTTTTTGTTTTGGTTTTTGTTGTATCGAATAATCAGATAATAATTAACCGAGACATTGATAATAAAGATCAAGCTATATCTAAAAGTAAATGATATATTAAAATATAATGATTTTATTGATATATCACGAGTACAATAAAAGAAGAAACAAAAAATCTTTATCATTCACAAACGTTTTGTTTAAATAATATCACGAGTATTACTGATTTGAAAAATTAAATTTGTTTTTGACTAAAATTAAAAAGAAAAAGATCTGCCCATATGAAATAAATGCTAAAAATATTTGAAAACAAAATTATCATTTCAATTTGAATTTGTCTATTTTTGTGTTTTGATTAACTGACGTCGTTTACGTTCATTAGATAAACGATCACATGCTTGCTGTATATTCATAAATGTAACTTGAGCCTTTTGTTTTTGTTCATAATTCTATACATAAATAACATAAAAATTGTTTAAGTATTTGAATAAATTCATAGAAAAATATATTTACTCGATATCTATCTGGATGCCATTTACGTGATAAAGTTCGACATTGAGATTCGATATCTTTTTGAGAAGCAACATTGCTGAGATTAAGTACCTAGAAAATAAGAAAAGTACAATTCATGGAAATGATTTATAATATAAACAAAACGAACAATGACTAAGTTTGCAAACAATTTATCTCATTATTTTTAAGTATTTTCTGATAGATTAAAGACTCAATTTTAGATTTGTTTGATAAAGAATTTTTTTATCCTAAAAAACTGTTGATTTTGTTGTTGCTTTTTTTTTCAATCTTTTTTCTTATCAATATGAAATATAAAAGATTATCATCTACTTAATCAACAAACTGACATTTTCTGTTTTACGGAAATATCTATCTATTTATGAAAACGTACGTCCCTTACATCTAATGCTGAAAGTAAATTATGTAGTATCCATACATTGAGAGTTTTGCACCTTACGTTGTCATGTCTTTTTCAAAATTACAAATGGTATTATTCTGCAAGAAAGGCTTCAAATTAATTGTGATTAGTTATTTTACATGTTCTCTAGAAAATCATGTTTTTAGGTTGATAAGGAAAAGATATTGTAAAAAGCATGTAAATCGTTTTATAATGTAAAATAGTCTCTATCGAATGATCTTAAAACCGTATCTTTACAATATTGAGAAATGTCCTGGAAAGCATCATTATACATCACTCGTTGCTATGTCATCGTATGTCTCAGAAAGAGCGATACGAGTAGATGACAGATTGGAAAATATTTTCAAAACAATTTCAATCACGTGACTTATTACTGGTCCAGTTATACAGTAAGCGTTATTTTACATTCTTGTACTATTCAAACAGAATACTAAGATTATAATATGAAGATAATCAAACTATTATATCAATATCCTTTTACATAGTAGCAGCTCTTTTTATTTTTCCAAAAGAACGGTAAGATGAGAATAAAAATACACAAGGCTCATCTATGTTTTTTTTTTGTTTCTATCACGATAGTAATTGTCGAGAAAGATTTTGTAATCTTTCTCAGATATATATATATGTACAAATCATGAACTCAGATTTCGTCGTTATTACTTCATTAACAATCATAAGCCATATCTTTCTATTGCTAATGACTTTTCATCACTAGAAAGAGGTGCAGAATCTGCCGCTAAGACAAAATATTTTTCCAGACGGACATAAATTCTTGAAAAAAAATTTTCCTACTATCAGAATAACAAGAAATCTAAACTCTCTTTTGTTTTTCTTTCGCAGATTCCAAGAAAGTGAAATATAACTAAAATAAGAAGTTGTGTACGAAGCTCGGTACTTTGACTACTAGAAGAAAAACATTTCCTGTAAGTCTCAATCAATTGTTTTTATGTAGAGAAAGTTTAATCTGTCTTACTCTACCTCAAATGCTTGTTTTTCAGTTTTTTCAAAACCAAATATCATCCATAATCCTTTAAAACCATAATGCAAATATAACGCCCATAATCTTCTTATAATAATAGATAAGTTTTCACGCATTATTGTAAATTCTTGTGATTTAAAAAAATCATTTAAAACATCTTTTAGTTTAACACGTTGACCTTTTACATCAACTTGTAAATTTTGATAAATAGCTGATGTAAATATTACACTAAAAATCATTACACCAAGTCCAAATATAAGACAACGTTTAACAATATGACATCGTTTTCGTTTTATTTGTTTTGATGAAATTAATAATTGTTGTTCAGCTGATTTTGTTATTAATACATTTAAAAAATATTCTCTATTCCATTGAATTTTTGATTCAAAAATGCAACAAGAAAAAAATGCTGCGATATTAAATGATGGTGCTGAATTAATATGCCATATTAAAAAAGGCATACCACATATTGCACCTAATAATGGCCAAATAAATGAACATTGTCGTGGCCCAAGTGTACCCGTTATTTGTATACCTAATAAAATAAAAATAAAAATATTTCATAATTTATCAAAATTTCAATCTTCTAACCAAGTGCAATAGCAAGAGTACTGCAACTTCCAATAAATAATGATAAAAAAAAATTTTCATGCCATTTCTCAGGAAAAGCGTAATAAGTAATAAAACCATAAAAAACAGCTGTAAGATATTGTCCTTAAGAATACAAAAGAAAAACAAACAATAATAAAAAAAATACTTTCATATGAATTCTATATATATATGTATCTATCCTCGATCGCATTGAAAGAATTAAAATTTCAAAAGAATATTTCAATGTTTCGCTAATAGATTTTTGAGTTAGTTCAATTTTGATTATTATTAAATATTGAAATTATTCAAAATATGATGCTTAAATTTGAATAATAGTCATTTTCTGTGTTTTTTTTTTCTTACCACATAATCTTGAAATTTCAAAACTAGGTGATTTTTTTGCTCTCATTTTTAATCTATATTCATTGATTATTAAGCAATGATTATTGGCTTCATAAACATAAGTTTTTATTAAAAATAATAATTCATAAATATAACCAATACCAAAGCCGCCGAATGTTGTCACCCATAATACAGCATGTTGAGTACGGCCCAAATAAAGATGATGTAAACCATAAAGACCACCAATTAATGAAAATATATATGTTAATAATAAACTTTTATTATTATTATTATTATTATTCATGAATTATCACAGATTAGATAAAAAAATAAAATAAATCTAAATATTGAAATTTAATTTATAAAATAAAATAAAAATACAAATGAAAAAAGAAAAGATCCAAGGTGAGAATTATAACTCGACTTTTTTTTTTTCTCTCTCGAGACAAGAATAGAGTAAGTTTGGACTAAAATAACCGACTGTCGCTAGAGTTTTCGTATAGATTTGTATTGAAAGTAGCGATTTATTCTATGATATTCGTCATTCTTCTTGATTACCTACGACATCTGATAATGCCTTGAACCTTAATGCAATGAAACTAGATTTAAGTAGATGTCACACATTACGATAGAAAGGAAAAAGACCAGTTTAATATTGAGAAATGGCAGCTGTATAATGTAATAATGTTCATTTTTAAAATAAATTTAAAAAAAAAAGTTCCACATTAGAGGAAGTATATTTTCTAATTAGTTAAATTCAATGAAAGTTCTATCAAATATCTCATTTAATTACTAATATGCACTGTGAATGCTATGAAACTATCCCAAATGACTCTTGAATACGTTCTTTAATAAGTTAGAAACATGTGTTTCTTCTTAATAGAAAAATGTGAATTCGTGACTACGTTTTAATATTGAATAATGCTTTTAAGCTAATAATTTTAATGGAAAATTTTGACTAAACAATGCTTACATGGTATTATTGACAGCCTGTTTGCAGCTATGAGGAGAAAAAAATGCTTATCTTTGTCAAGAAGAATATTTTCGATAGGGCATTCAGTTCATCATATAATGAGATAAAAGAAGTAGTTGTCTTCAATATATTTTAACATCATAAGAAAGATTTGAATCAAAGTTCTATTTGAAGTTGAATCATCTTTTTTAAAATTATACGAATAAAAATCTTGATTTCTACAAGAGTTAATGAGAAATTCTATTTTTATTTTTTCTTTCTGCATTAATACTCAAACAAGATTCTTTTAATATGAAATTTGAAGTTGTTCCATATATATGATAATTATAAAAATAATCAGTATTGTTCATTAAAAGATTTTTAACTCACACTTTTCTGTTGAAATCATTCATTCGAATATTATTTCTAACTACTTTCGTATAAGATGATGGAAAAAAAGTTTAATAATAATGTATTTGTTAATTTTTTTTCTATAATGTTAAGCAATTAGCTCAAATATACATAGTAATTTTAATAGACAATGAAGTTTTCTATTTCATGCACTCTATAGTAAGATTTCGAAAAACTCGAATACATTAGTTTTTAAGTTCTAATAGGCTTTGTCGAAGCTATTTTTTTAACGATACAATTTTAAAGAGCACAAATGAAATGTCGCAACATTTTCTACAGTCTTTCCTTGAAAAATTAAAAGTGTCACGAAAGCCGAAAAAAAAGGCGTTTTTTGTCGATGTTTTGATAAATTTTGTTTCTTTTACAGTTATTGTCATACTTTTAACTTTTTAAAGGAAACTAGTACAAAATGTGACGACCTCTCATTTTGTGCTCATTAAAATAGCATTGTTAAAAAATAGCTCCAACAAAGTCTTGTGAAATCTGGAAACAATCATAGTTGATTGTTTTAGAAATCTAGCTATCATAGTTCATTTATGAAATCTTGATATAACATGCATTAAATAGAAGAAAATTTCATTGGCTATTAAAATCACTATCTGGATTTGAGCTAGGTGTTACAAAATTATAGAAGAAAAAAAAAATCAACAACACGTTATTGTTAAACTATTCTCTATCACCTTAGTTATAGCTTTTAGCAATTTACATAAATTGTAGAAATGACTATAAAGAAGTTTTATGATACTTATCATCATTAAATAGCATTTCTCTCATTGCGAAAACACATCATTAATGATATAACATTATGACAATTATTTCTTTTCTACTGTTCTTATTAATAATGATTGATTAAAATAGACGACGTATATGGTCATCATTTGATCCAAATCGATAAAGCCATAAGATTTACTACACAAAATGATCGTTGAAATCAGATTATTGAGTTTATATTTCTTCGATCATGACTTTTGATATTCATAATGATGTAATTTCAACATTCATTCTAAAATAGTTTATTTCATTCATGAGAAGTTATTTGCAAAAAGATTCCTTACTTATTGTGTTTTGTTCAATTTTTTTTGTCCTCAATTAGGCTTATATAAAACTCTAGAACAGTCAGTGGCGTACGCAGGGGGGGGGGGGCGGGGGGCCCCGGGCCCCCCCCCCTGCGCCGAAAAAGTCCTGAAGGGGGGTACAGGAAAAAATATTTTCGCGTGATAAAAAATTTTTTGTGCCATGGCGGGCCCCCCCTTACGAAGTTGGGCCCCCCCTTGAAAAATTTCTGCGTACGCCACTGAGGACAGTGAACATCTAGTTTTGCTAGCACAGACATATACTACATGATACAATAACTATAAATTTGTGAAGAGTCAATTTAATCTTCTGAGAGGTATCGTCTTCTCGGTTCCCACGCCAGATAAAATACTGATGACTTGTAAAGAGAAATTCAATATTCGTTTCGTTAAACTAATTTAAATAATCTTTCCAATTTTGTTACATTTATTTTAATGCAAAATAGGATTTTGTTTTCAATGCCTTAGTTTTTTTATTAGCTTTGTTAAAAACCGATTGTTGCGTGATTTCATTTCAAATGAACTCATTTTCCTCATTATGCATTTTAGGAGTTTTATTTATTTTCACAATTATAATGTGCAATAGTACAACAATTTAAGTAATCCAATTTTTACTCATATTACATAAGAGTGAATTGATATTCAACATAACTTAACTTGAAAAATTTCCAGGGAGTTAATCGAATAGAAAATAATAAACAATGAATTCTATTGATCAATACAATTCAAAAAAAAATAAAAAATAATTTTTCACCAATAATTTCAAGATGTTTTATTAATGTACAAAATCGAAATAAGAATCTTTTCAGTTCACCACAAATAAATATGAAAATAAAAAAGATTTCTTTATTCTATATAAAATAAAGTCTAAAAAAAACAAAAAAAAAAAAAGAATGATCTCTCTCAATCATGTTTATCAAGTCATTTATTATAATTTCTACTTGATAAAGTTATTGTTCATGAAACCTTACAAGTATGCAAAAAGAATAATTGATTTAACTTCATATTGATCAATGCAACCATTCATATTTCACTTAACAATGAACAATTATTTCTTTTCTCAAACTTATGGTTATAGACAAAAAAAAAATAATTATTCACGGCATATCAGTACATGACAATGGTTCATTGTTATAAAATACTAAACTTGCTCAAATGTAACAAACTTTTCTTTTATTTATCACTAAACATATGTATGTGTGTATGTTTAGGATTAGAATCATTAATGGAATTTTAGAAGTGATCAGAGAAGATTGACTCTTGTCGTTTACTTATATCCATGAAAAGCGTAAATTGAGTTTTTTTTTTCTTTCTTCTCTTCACTCGGATCATAATCATCAACTATCCCTTTTATCAAGCTATGTATATGTGTGTGTGTGTCATATAGTATTAACATATCACGACACGCGAACGCACGCGTAAAAGTATCTTTATGTGTATACGTATATACATATCTATATACGTGTATACAGTTGAAGGCGTTTGTTCACGTTTAATTGTAGATTATCATCGCGGCACATGTGAGTGAATAGTAGGTTTTGTTCTTCTTTATATCATTGTCATTAAAAAAGAGAAGCGAAGAAAAAAAAGAAGAAAAAAAAACTCATTTGTAAAAGGATTACGCCTACATCACATGTGCATTTTAAAATATAAATCAATGCGTGAATGACAACGGGTGGACCCGAAGCCTTGCTATACAAACGAACTCAAGGTATGCATACATACCAGGATACCCTAGGGTCTACCATGTTTCTATTCATTTTGTGATCGAATCTATTCGAAGTGGCAAGTATAGTGGAAGAAGCATGAGAAAAAAAGCGAAAAAAAAAGTGCACACTACCATCATTATGAAGTATTGTCAAACAAAAGAAATTTTAAGAACATTTGAGTCTTATTTATCAAGAATATATTGTCGCGTCATCGTCGCCACTACCACCGACATTATCGTCATGTAATATACATTCTCGTGTAACAATGCATTAGTTGCGTATGGGTCCAAGACGACTATGTATGCTTAAAATTAACAAAACGAGAATAAAAGAAAAAAGTGCCATCGTTCATTGTGGACATAGTTAGTTCGTCTATCTTAAAATAAATATTCTCCTTGAAAGACATTTTGTTTCCTTTTGAAGCCATAGTTAAACAAACATCTAGAATATTTAATCGGAACTGTAAATATCTTTCATGCGATTATACTTATTACTTTCCTCCATTCTTCTTCTTTTTCTTCATTTTCTTTTCTGCATCTTCGATTTTAACATAGTAAAGCATCCTGTATATATATATATATATGTGCATAAAGCTTTATTAACACTTGACAGTTAGAAATGAATATTCTAGGCATCTGTCCAGTCAAGTGTTAGTACGAATTTTAAGATCGAGAGAGAACATTGTTTAATTTTTAAAAAGTATATAAAATCCACTTCATATGTTGTTTTCTTTTGTATGAAAAATAGTAACACAAGAGAAAAGGTTTAAATAAAATATGAAGTAAAGACGCGAGAGAAAGACAGGGAGAAAGAGACAGAGAGAAAGGGAGGGCATAAACGTATACATATACATTTTTGCTACGCTGTACATATATAAAATATAGGCAATTTAATACGTATAACCCATTTGCGAGAATAAGAAGATGATCAAAAACTGTAAATTTTCGCTGCTGGTCAAATAGTTCACTTCAATTTTTTTGCTATTTCTACAGTTACTATACGTCTATTCAAGGTACTATTATTCATCACCTGCTGTCGTTTTACGTATAGAATCTAAAACACGTCAAAATTACATAATCGTTTCAATTTCAATTCGTGGTTTGAACTCGCCATCTTTTCTCTTTTCTCTTATTTTTTTAACACTATACAAAGCATTCATTCAACCACACACAAATGACAACACATGCAACAACACCGCTTGATATTCATTCTCCTCATCATACATTATATAGCAATCGAATTTATGCTCGTACGACAACAACAGCAACGGCAGCAGCACGTTCATCACTTGTAAATCGACCATTTCATTCATATTTAAAAACATTCCCACCCATAAATATATGTGAAAATCTTTTATATGATGTAACTATAGCTGGTGACGTTGGATCAGCTACATCATCATCGTATATTAATAGTAGCGAACATTATGATAATACATTTGCAAATACTTATGATAATCCAATTCAGTATTTTGAAAAGGTAAATTTATTATGAGATTAATAATAAGAAATTGTTGTTATTTTTCTTTCTAAATATTGATTTTGTTATTTTTTTTTTTTTTTAGTATCCTTCAAAATCAATTGATATTGTTAAAGGAAGTTTAAATGAACTTCCACATTCTAATGAGAATTTTTATGATCATGCTAAAGACGATCATGATGATGAAAATTGTTCAACAACTACTACTCGTAGTACATCACCTGTTCTTTTTTATTTGGAAAATAAAAACTTAGCCATATGTGCATGTATTATTTCACTTCTTTTATTATTACTTATTGGTCTAGGAATTTTTTTATTAAATAAACTTATTCGTCCTGTTATTATTAATACTACAGTAAATAATCATTATGGTATAATGAATATGTCGAATACAACAACAACAACAACAGTGATTTCATCTCGTTCAACGACTTCTAAACCACTTGTAATGTTATTAAGACGATCATCAACTGATATTTTAACAACAACGACTAGTACATTGATAAGAAATGAATTTGAATTTTCCTGTCCGCCGAATCGTTGGGGAAGGACATGCGAGAATCTATGTAAACCATGTGGTCTCGGTGTATGTCATCGGATTACAGGCAATTGTATTTGTCCAGAAGATATGTATGGGGAATTCTGTGATTTATGGAAAGGTATATATTATATTTTAAAAACTATTTTAATATTGTAAGTTTATTTTATTTTATTTTATTTTAGTTAATGATAAACCAAAACGTGGCGATATGATGAGTTGAACTTTATTATTAATGTATATATATTTTTAAAAGAGCTTATTGTTTGTGTGTATGTCAAAGAATGAATAACCATTTAAAAAGAAATCATATGTGAACAAAAGGTGGTATCTCACAACAATATCTTTTCAAAGTTTTAATAGAATCATTAATATCCGCCCATTCGATTGTTCCTCTAATGTTATATATATATATGTATTTTGGAAAAGAATAATGCAATAAGAAATCAAAAAGATTGATTAAGACACGATGATTAAAGTTATTTAGTATAAAAAAAAAAAAAACTACGTATTCACGTAAATATATAATTATGATCCATGAATTAAAGGGAGTTTACCTGTAAAATATTTAAATATTTTCTTGTTTATATCAATATTTATTTTTAAAATAAGATAAACTTGAATATCCTTATATACTTGTAGCATTGAAAAAGTTCTCGAACTACTTTTAAAAACAATAAGAATCGCTGCTCTTTCAGTATTTATATCTGTGTATACCTTATACAGTTCTCTATTCATAGATATCATTGGCTCTGTTATGTGAAACTTTTGAGTAGACATATAGCAATACATTTCATATCATTTGATATACATTGACAGAAAATTCCAGTATCAATCAATGATAAAATTTCTTTTTCTGAAAGGTCATGTCTTATATAATATTTATGACAATATAGTGACAACTTATAATGAGTAATACTTCATTACTTAATACAATTTCAGAATACAATCTTTATTTTAAAGATAAATAATGACACGTTGATGATAAACCTAGACGTGAATAACTTACCTAAAAAAAAAAAAATTTGACAAATCAAGTGACTCAAGATAGTCAGTTCATAAATCAGCAAATAACAAATACTACTCAATTTTCAAATGTACAGTTTTATGGTATTTTACAAGATCAATTACATATGATTATAACATATTTTATTCCATATGAAATATTACATTCACTAAAATCAGCTCAGTGCCATGTCATTCATATCTACTAAAAATAGTAATCAATGACTAATATTCACATTTAGATTGATGAGCCCATTCAAAAAGTATAGTGCATGACAGCAGTATCATCAGTGTAAATCAACGCCATACATTAATTGATATTCAATGACAACTTCTCCTTAAAAAAACAAAATTTTGTTTCAATTTTTGGTTTTCAATCAACTGATATAAGATTCTCTAAAATGTATTACTATACTTCCATATATATGTTTCATACAGCAAGGTTTATTATATAGAATATATGAACTATACACAAATACTATCACTAATAATAATGATAATACCACCACAACGTTTCTTATAGTTTGGAAATAAAATGAATTTTAGAACTTTTTTTTAACGCTCTATGTAGATATACTTATTATGAATAGACATCTTATTATAAATGATAAATCGAATCTTAATAGAGAAATGTGTCGTGTCATTAAAATCGAAGACGGTTTTATACAGTGAAGATTAATTGAACAAGCTTTATATAAAATTTCAATGAGTAGTACGTTTTAGGTGTGTTTTGAATTATTATGATTGAAACTTAGTATATCAGTTAAGAAAATTGATATAAGAAAAGAAACAGCCTATGGAGACAACCTTGTTTTTTATGAAAATGAGTCTTTTCATTGCAGAATAAACGAAAATTAGTAAACGAGCATGAAATAAACCAATATAATGAATGTTTATGTGTGACGATATGAAGATATGTATATATTCTTATAAACTGTTTCATTTAACCTTCCTTCACTCTCATTTAGAGTCCTACAACCTTGTGACTTGAAGGTTTTCATGCATTTGTCTTTTGAAGTGAGAGTACATTTTACTATGTATAAACGTCTGCTGTAATCATTAGAACGAAAAATATTTAACTATTGAAAGTTAAATTATATTCAAATTATCCAATAATGTTTGGCAATCCTATTTTTATAAGTGGTATTCCTTATAGACTTGAAGGAAAAATTGGTCAAGGTCTCCATAGTATTGTTTATGGTGGTCGTGATCTAGATGATGATGAACCAGTAGCTATTAAAATAATAAATTTTGCTCATGGGCCATTAAATCCAACTGCTGAACCTAGATCTCGTCAACAATTATTTTCGAAAGAACTTAACATGCTATTATTTTTACAAGAATTAAATCCATATGTTATTCGTATATTTAATCATGATTATAATGATGAATATGGAATAATTGTTATGGAACGTGGTAAAACATTTCGTGATACTTTACTTGAACATATGCTTTCGAGAACACCAATTCCACCATTTCTTATTCATAGATTTTGGTCACAAATGGTTGAAGCTATTTTTTATTTACATCGAATTGGAATTGTACATGGTGATTGTAAACCTGAAAATTTTATTCAAGTTGGTCCTGATGGAACATCATTAAGACTTATTGATATGGGTATAAGTTTTCAATTACCACCAAATGTTACAAGTCATTTACATACGGCTGCGGGAACACCAGGTATATTCTCATAAATATGAAACAATAAAAACAAAAAAAAACAGATTTATTCTTTTTGTTTTTTTCTTCTCTTTTTATTTGAAAATAGATTATGTATCTCCAGAAATGATTAATTCTCGGGTTGGTTACAGTGCTCAATCAAAATATGGTTATAAAGCTGATGTATGGGCACTTGGTGTTATTCTATTTGAAATGGCATTTGGTTTTCGGCCTTTACAAAATTTAGGTGGTAATCAAACTAAATTAAGGTTTTTAGGACAATTACGAAGCGATATAAACATTCCTCCACATCCTGATAAAAATCTACGGAATATTCTTAAACGTTGTTTATGTTCAAATCCTCGTCGACGTCCAACTATCGAAAAGTTATTAAATCATCGATATTTGACAGGATGACATTGAATAAAATGAAAAAAAAATAGATACAATTTTTCTTTCTTGTCATTTTTCATTTATTTTTATTTTTATTTAAATTTATATTCTCGTTATTTCAAATGACCTATCTCCGTACGGTAACTAACTGGCTCGTCACATAGATCAATATATATATATATGTGCTTAATGTATCTATATGTATCTGAATATGATGCAATATATGTGAAGCAAGAAATAGCACATCTATACAAAAAAACTTCAATTGATGATTGCTCTGCTCTTACACTTCTCCCTTTGTCCGGTATTGCTCTCTTACTCACTGTCTTTTTTCTTTATACACATATGTACATACACAAGCTAACCGCAATACTCCATCTCACTTTTTCATTTATTTCATCGCGTTTATATTTGTATGCATGATAGAAGAAGCCGTTGTTCTTAATAGTGTATATATGTTCTAATGACAGAGTAACTATCGAACTATTGTTGATAGACAAAAAAAAAATAGAAAAAAAAGAACTTATCATGGGTGACGTTATGTTACCAGGACGTCATTTAAATTTACGACATGGATTATATGAGATTGATGGCATGCTTGGTTTTGGTCTTCATTCAAAAGTCTATTCAGCACATAATATAACAACACAACAACCCTTGGCATTAAAAATAATCGATTTAGAACATCAAAATGTAACTGTACGAGCTTCAACAATATCACGTCGACAAAGTTTTCAAAAAGAACTTCAATATTTATTACGTTTACAAGCAATTAATCCATATATTGTACGTATATTTGATTATGATATCAAACAGTCCGGTGTTATTGCTATGGAACAGGGTACACCACTTCGTTATTATATACCTAAATATCCTAACGTATCAACACCACATTTATCACCACAAGTTGTACATTATTTTTGGCGTCAACTTGTTGATGGTGTAAGATATTTACATCGTGCACGTATTGTACATTCGGATCTTAAACCAGAAAATCTTATTGTTTTACCAGATGGACAAATACGTATTATTGATTTAGGTGAAATTAACTTTTGATATTATTATTAAATTTTATTTTTTTGTATCTATTACATTATAGGTGTTTCATTTACATTACCTCGTATGGTAACAGCTAAACGACGTATATGGGCTGGAACACCTGATTATAGTGCCCCAGAAATGCATAAATCACCATCAGGTTTTCCACCTAAATATGGTTATAAAAGTGATATATGGTCATTAGGTATTTTACTTCATGAAATGGCAACTGGTTTTCGTCCATTATATGCATTGAATAGCAATTTTGAAAAGATCTATTATTTAAAACATTTATATCGTGATCTTCCAATTGATACAAACGTTTCACCAGGTGTTTATGATGCAATGAAACACTGTTTACAAGTTCGACCAAAATTTCGACCAACAGCTGAACAACTTTCTTTGCATCATTATGTTGTAAATGGCTTTTAAAAACAAAAATATTTTTTTTTTGTTTATTTGACACAAATAAAAATGATTCATGTTGACAGATATTGACAAAATCTTAATATAGAAAGGTGATGAATAAATTGAAGAAAAAAATGATTGAAAAATAATGAAATTTTATTATTATTGAAATAGAATAGAAAAATTTTGAATTTGATGAATAATCTTTTTGATATAAATTAAGGATTCCAAAAAGAAAAATTTTAGAAGTATATTCATTCTTAATGACTATTTAACTTTTGTGATCGTACAAATGAATTCAATTTGTTATGAAGATTATTGTTAAATGATAAATCAAAATTTTATTATCTGTTCTATCTACCTTTATCTTCCATCATTAAAATATAGATAATGTACGATTGATTGCTAAAACATAATATAAGTCACTATTTATATGGGCAAGTACGATGTGTCCACTGAGAAGCAATTAGAAAATATCATATTTACTAATCTTTAAAATGAGTACGTTTATGTGTTATAGCATAGTTGTTTTTTTGTCAGGTCATATCAAGAGGAAATGAGTGTCATAACGTATGCATGTATATACGCGCGTGTGTTCATCGATATAAGAATCAGTATGTGAAAAAATTATCGATATATATATATATATATATAATTGAACATCCAAATTAATAAAAAGGACATAAAATTTAGTTTTTCTTCTACGTTAAATATATCACATTAAAGAGAAATTAAGATTCACTATGTTTCTTACTTTGTCTTTTCAAACAAAATGCTTCATTTATCTATCATGAGATGAGACATAATAGATAATGTTATCTACGAAAAAAATCACAAAAAAAACAGATTAATATTATGTCATTGTTATCAATAGAAGAAAACTTGAAGAAGTATCTATGAACGATAAACAAACAATTTAGTGGAAATCGACCTTAACTAATAGAGATATGCAATTCGATCTGATTTTTTACCCCACATAAATCCTGTTGTATGTCAAGCATTTGATATTATAAATTAATTAGAAATATATCATGACGATGGTTGGAATTTTATCAATCTGAAAAATATATGAAATACTCTCCCAAATAAACAAAAACTATTCATATTGAAGTTAAAATAGTTCTTCAAAATGATTCTTTTGATCTTTTTCGTTGGTCATTCCAATTTAACGTCCTGCTGACAGGTAGTTTGTCCGAGAACAAGATAAGTTAGATGCCTTTCAACTTCTGCAAGCAATAACAACCCTACAGCTATTGCTAATATCTCCGATAGATCAACTTTTGAAATAACCCATTCAATAAAGAAAGTGATATGTGACAAGATTTATGCGCTAAATTTACTCAAAATAAGCAACTGATCAAATATTACATGAATGGCCCTGGCAAATAGATTTTAAGAAGTCAACCGAAAAAATAGCCTTCTCGAACGATTTCTTACGCAAATATGAGATGTCCTTTAAGTGTTCAATTCTTACAGAATCATATTTAGCACCATACAAATATTTTCTTTTATAGACAGAACAAAAAAAAAAAAAAAAACTGAACAAATAAAGAAAAAAAAAAACTCGTGCAGCTAATCAATACACACACGCAAACAGAAATATACATATAACTGCGAGTAGTAATACAAAAAAAAAAAAAAAGAAAGAATACGATCATTTATAGCAAAAAGAAAAAATCATATAAGATATTCATTCTTTTTTTTCATGGACAAAATAGACACCAAAAAAAATATATTTTTTTTTTTTTATATAGAGCACCATTCGATAAGAAAACGCACACACATCAAAGTTTGATTAATTGATACAATGTACAGAAATAAAATAAGGATTAATTCTTATACAAATAAACAAAAGAAAAATAAACAAATTTCATTCGTATGAAATTATTCTTTTTTTTTTTTTTTAACCAAAACCAGAAAATATAGCCGGTGATTAGTATCGACTAGAGTCATATTGCAAGATGAAACAAACATAAACAAATGAAATATAAGATCGACAAATAAGATGTATTCGAATTGATGTACTTGATATCACAAGAAAAATATGATAAGAATAAAAATCTATATATCATCATACACCACCAGTAAAATTTATATAATTTTCTGGTATTAAACCAGTTTTACCATTAATTGTACCCATTACCTTTTCAAAGAAAAACAATAATAATAATAATTTATTCTTATATTAATATTTAATTTTAAATACTTACCCATCCAGGTTCTTTCGATGGTCGAACTAAAAAAAATATATGGAAAATAATCTATAAAAATTGAATCATATATTTTTTTTTTTTGGTAAAACTTTACTTTGTGTAACAATTTCATTTGCATTAAACGATAATTCGGAATCATTATCAGCTACACATTGATATAAAGTTACACCACGAGTTTGTCTTAAAAAAAAGAAACACAACTTATCAATTTTTATTTATATAGATGTTTATAAGAAATTACTAACATTTTTGATAAAACACTTGTTGTTTGTGGTGTTCGTGCTCCTTTTACAGATAAAGACGAACTAATTGCTGGTTCCAATTTTGATGTTGAAAGACTATTTGTAATTGATAAACGACTTGAAGTTTCGGATGATGGTTGTCTTGTATAAGATGATAAAGACGTTGAGCGTGTTTGATTACTGAATAAATTGGAACTTGGTAACGATTGAACACCGGTTGATGATGCACTTAGTGATTCTAAACTACTACTTGAGCTAGCTAAAAAATCAATAATACAATAAAAATAAGCGTACAAGATTGGAAATCATGGTATCTCAAGGAAGTGTACAATTCCAAATACAAATAATACCAAACCGAAGCTCGTCGAAAATAGAATTCAAATGTATATCTAACAATTTATAGTATGATTATGAACAATATAATTATTGAAAGTTTGACAACTTCAAGCATATATAATTGGAGATTATACTTACGAGGGAACATTCCCAAGTGTCACATCGCTTTTGAGTCGAGAGTATGAGCATCATGTAGGTCCTAGTGATCTATGAACACCCTGAAAAAAGTTCGTGCCGCTAGCTTATTGGTGCCGAGATATTGCATTTTTACGGTATTNAGTCAACGAGTTTCTTCGTGCTATTATTATTTCAAAAACTAGACATATCTTGTTAAGAAACTTACCTGAATTAATTTTTTTCTTAGGTGTTTGTTTAAAATATCGATGAAATAATTCTCGTGATATATTTACAATTTTCCATTGATGGTTAAAAATTGTTGTTATAAAAAATATAACATGTATTATAAGACTGACAATCAAATATGATAAAGTTGTCATCATGATTAATTCATCGTTAGACATTTTTGTTATAGATAGTGACGATTGGTTACTGCCTATAAGAAAGAAGAAAGACATCTCGTTTTGACCTATGTTGGATAGCTAATACCAATAACAAGTGTTCCCATATGAGTTAATACTGTTCGACTATAGGAAATTGACAAGAGAGAAAGTAAGAAAGCGAGAAGCGTAGATCAAAAAATGCGATTTTCCGCGTATATGTGTATGTATGTTCGCATGTCGTTTGTACGCCTCAATCACAGCTACGCTGAGTAGAAAAAAAAAAGAGAACACAAATAAAAAATTAATTTCTCTCTATGGAATCTAATCTGCGTGATGTCTCTTTTTCTTTTTACTGCTTCACTATAGTCCCGTTGCTTTGACTGTTGTTGTTCCCAATATTGATCCAAGTCGTCGTCGACATCGTCATCGTTATCGTTACAGAAAAAAAAAGCAAAACTCGTTCTTGTACAAATGTTTTTGTTTCTAGCCATCATCTCCATCTCGCACACCGGAAATCGACAAATTAACAAAGCCCCAAAATCGCCTATAACCAACAAGCTGCATATAGATTTTGTTTTTTGAAAAAATAGTTCGTCATTTACAAATTTCTCATGAAAGGATTCATAGTAACTATGTTTGAATAAGTTTTACAATCTAATCAACAACGTTCTTTATTTTAATGATGTTGTGCGTCAATAGAATCGAGGAATCTGATATGTTGACATTTGTCCGTTCGCTCTCTCCTACTCATTCATTCTTTAACGGTAGAGCATAAGCTATATTGTTCTTTTTTCCTGCATGTGTTGTGCGTTTTTCCGGCAGGCCTCTTACGTGTGCATTGCACATTGTAGTAAGCTACTTAACGTAGAACAGGTGTTCTCATATTCATGTAAAAAGTACTCATTTTTATATTTATAATATTATCTACCAATAATAATCATTCTTTTGAAAATAGTTCACTCGATATATAATGATTAGCTAAAATCTATTGACAGAAAAAAGGAAATAAAATTTCGGATTATTTATATCCGCTTACTTTCATATTATGATTTACTGAAACGAGAAAAATTGAATTATTATTATTTGATAGATAAGAGAGAAAACAAATAAGTATCATGGGAATATCATCTTGATGATTTACTTTATATTACCTCCAGATTACCATAAATAATAAAAAATCATCGCTCGAAAAGAGCATCTGGATAGAAATCGATTGATTGATTGATGATGTAGACTTTTTTTTTTGTTTATTTGCACAAATTTTTTTTTTCTCTTTTTCTTCTGGATATTATCCATATGTTGATAAAGGGAAAAAAAAACAATCGTAGATATATATTTCAAGATACAACACGTACAAGAAATGATCACTTTTACATGAGAATAGGAAAAATGTCTTTTTTTTTATTTTATTTTGTATGTTTATATATTTATTTTCGGGATTTTATTGCTGAAATTGTTCATGGAAAAACTATGTGTTTTGTTCTATTTTTGATTATGATCGACTACGTGATCGTGATCGTGATCTATTAAAAACAAAATAAATGAACAAAAAAAAAAAAATCGTAAAATTAAAAGAAAATATTGACTTACGGAGAACGTCGACGATATCCTCCACGATCACTACCACGATCACCTCCACGATCACCGCCACGATCACCTCCACGATCACCTCCTCGACGATCATAATTTGTATTTCGACGATTATGATAACGATCGTCACCTTCATTTCGATTTTCTCGACAGTTACGAGATATATGACCAGGACGGGAGCAATTATAGCATGTTAAATTATTACGATTATTACCATTATTACCACCACCATTCTTAAAAAAAACAAAATCATATTCGTAAACAAAAATTTCCTTTCAAATATTCTTTTTTACTGATGGTCCACGTCGTGTTGATCTTGCCCATTGAACAATAAATGATTTTCCTTGATGTTCACGTCCATTTTCTCCTTTAATAGCTGCCTAAAAGATGAATAAAACAATTGATCATAAAATTCTCCTAACGATGTTAAGAAACTTTGAAAGAAAAAAAAAAGATATACAAATTATAATTTTTCTCTGGTAACTCGACATACCTTCTATTTAAACAGTATGAAAAGAACTCTGAAAATGGGAAAATGCACTGCTGATGTATGAAATATCACCACCACCTTCAATCAAACTGCTACGGAAACATGTTACACGTTGTTCATCAGATATATATTAATGAATCGAAGACGTGCATATGTATGAAAAGAAACTTTAGGAATACATGATGCACTCCTAGAAAACAAAAAGGCCTTAGTTAAGTATAAATTGAAATCTTTATTGTTTGTTTTGCGTTTTTTTTTTTAAAATAGTATTTAACTATAATTACTTCAGCATCAGAGTTTGTTTCGAATTCGAGAAAACCATAACTTGAAGCAAAATCTATGTTCAAGAAAAAATAAAGTAATGTGTATTTATCAATAAAGAATTATAAAGAATTTACTCGATGCTCCCTGCTTAAGTTCACATCTGACTATGCGTCCATAATTTTCGAAGATACTATATTTAATAAACAAAAGATTAGAGTTGTAATGAAGACTTTTTTTTTTAGATAAAATAATTACTCTTCAAGATCATGTTTTGAAATATCTCGATGAATATTTCCAACAAATATTTCTACTTGAGGCATTAAATCAAATTTTCTGATTGAAAAATTATAGTGAATGAATACTGATTAGTACTTTGTCTTGTTTGTTGTTTATCTAAAATTTCAACAATGTCAGTCTGTTTATTTCTCTCATTTTGTCGATGAAAATTAATTAACGATATATACATTTCAAAAAACTTTTTTCATCTAAAATTCGAAATTTAAATAAATTTCTTATATGATTTTAATTCAAAGTTCAGTACATTTCAAAAGATGTCGCTAAAAATCGGTTCGTATTTTATGTTTTCGAATCTTGTCATGTCATTAATATAATTTTAAGAAGTTTCGACTGGATTTAGTTCTATATCTACGAATAATTCTATGTTCTTTTTGTTATTTAACAAACTTCAATACTAATCAACAATAAAAATTTATAATTTTAATGCAAATCAAACTAAAATTTCTAATAATTATAATGAATTGTAGCAAATTCCACCTTTCATCATTCATAAAACGACAATGTTAGTCCTCGGATATTGGCGCCGATACGAGTCCTTATCTAATGAAACAAATGCGCATTACAAGGACTGTACAATAAAAAGTAAAGTGATCATTATTACAATTGTCATTTTATTCAATTGGATGAAACGAGTGTCATGCATCCTATTATTGATTCATTAGAGTGACACTCGCAGGTAACAAACATTATCATTGGCGCTAAAATACAAAACAAAAGAAAAAGTTAAACGTGAGTCAAAAGATTTGCAGCCAAGGAGATATAGAAAATTATAATCATACATATAGAATACATTTCTCACGCGCCGTTTATTCATTTAGTTAAATCTATCAACAATGGTACATAATTGTGCAATTATAAGTTGTCCACTTCATAATCGACGGAATATTCGTAAAGGTATTTTTCCTTTTAATGAGATTAGATAGGTTTTTCTTTTACAACTTCTTTTTGTTTATCAAGGACTTCTTTTTCATTCATTTCCTGTTGATCAACATCGATTTGAATTGTGGCGACAGACTGTATTTAATCATTGCTCACAAACACTTTCTATAAATAAACATTCGAAAATTTGTTATCGACATTTTCATCCAGATGATTATATTGCAAATCATACTGGTCTTACACGTTATTTAAAAGCAACTGCTATACCATCAATTTTTACTCAAACTAATTCTAATACAACTATACTTTCTTCAGCTATATTAAATAATCATTTATTTAATTCATCAACTAATTCGAACACTAATCGATCAATAAAATTAAATACACTTTCAGAAACATCACCATCACTTTTAATTCTACCATCAAAATCTTCTTCATCAGTAGTTGTACCAACAATTACAAATACAAAAGCAAAACGACTTTTAAATACAATTGATAAATTACATCAAATACAAAATGCAAATAAAATTGTTATGACACAAAAAATAACTTCAGAAAATGAACAATTAAAACAAGATGATGATAAAATCATAGAAAAACAAACATTAAAAACAAATCAAATTATCAATGATAATAACATTTTACTTGAGAATTCAATACAATCATCTCAACCATTTATGATCGATCATCAAAATATAATAAAAGAACAACAACCAATTCGTATGTCTAAAAATTTAATGAAATTATTATAGAATATTTCATTAAGTCTCTTATTTTTTTTAGAGGACACTTTTCATCAGTCATCAGGAGAATCTGACACATTTCGATGGACAGAAAATACAATAATTTCATTACCAAAAAATCATCTAGAAGATACATTATTCAAATTTCTTGAGCAAGCTAATCTTTTACAATATTATTCTGCTTTCATCGAACAAGGTATGATAACACACACATATATATATATATATATATAGGGTGTTACAAAAATTCAAGCGAAAGAGAAAAAACGGTGAATAAGTTCCTTGACTTACCAAGGAACTTTGATACAGTGACGTATCCAGGATTTTCCAGTATGCTGAATCTCGAATTCCGAGTGTGGGACCCAGATGAAACTCATGGAGGGTGATGCTGAGTCCAAATGATGAAATTTTATCAAAAAAAAATTGCACTCAGAGTTTGCGAAAAAAATTAGCATTTTCCTGATCCCCCTCCTAGGATTTTTTGCTGTTAGTAGCATCTTAATTTTTAGAATTTCATAGGAAGCTATACCGAATTTCATCGACAAATTTCAAATTTCGTCTAAAAATATGTAATCGTCCAATAGTTATAACTTTTTGAATTGTTGCCACATGTAGAAACAATTTTTTCGAAATTTCAAAACATCATAACTCTTGAACGGTTGCACATTTTTAGACGAAATTTAAAATCTGTCGATNGCCGCTCGTTATCCACGGGTCGTCACTATTCATTGGACAAGTTCGTAATTCTTTTTTTTTGCTGGATGCTTTTCAGACTGTCTTCGGGTGAGTTAGAAGACGAAAATGAAAATCCAAGACCACTTCCACCAAAGTGGTATAAACTCCATGGAATCACCCCAATAACTATTTAAAACAAATGTAAGTACAAAGGTTATTTAAATAAATTTGCTTTTTTGATAACATGATGATATAATCATTTATGTAAATAATGTTGCAATCTTTTTTTCTATTTATAAATGTATACATAAAGAAAGTATTACTCCAACCAAAAAAAAATAATCATTATTCAGAGATTAAAAAATAATTAAATATGTCTTTTTTTTTAGCACCGCTTACATAAACATTTATACGGTAAGATAGAATATGTGTCAACTAGCATTCTACATTTTCTTTCATCAAAAATAATGCAAAAAAAAATTAATTGAAATTTTCCATTTTCTCCTCTTCTGCTTCGTCATTTAATACAGCCGGATCTTGATTTGAATCAAGTTTTTCAATTGGATTTTGTTGATCATCATTATGTTTACTTTCATCTATTTCTTTTGTTAGACGTAATTCTTTTTCATAGCGAATTAATTGTAAAAAAAAAGATATATTCGGTGCAGCAATACGACGCCGTTCAAGTAAATAATCATAAGCTTTGAGTAGAGAATCATGATGATATCTTAATTAAAAAAGCAAAATAATACATGCGTATAGTCCTATCAAGTTTTTTTACTTCATTAAATAAGCCAAAACAACTGAAGATGAACGTGATATTCCCATTTGACAATGAACTAAAACTTTCTCATTCTTTTGTTTACAATTATGTAAAAAATCATTGCTTTCGTCAAAATGTTTTTTTATATCTGCTCTAAGTTCATCATATAAATTAATCCACAAAACATGAAAATTATCTAATATTTCTTTGTCTAATTGACAATCACATACGTCAATTATGTGTCGAATACCAAGTTGATTCAATAATCTTATATTTGATGCATGACCTAAATCACCATGATAAAGAAAATCATCAATAACTACGGATGGAGAACCATATGTATTTCGACCAGTACTCAGTGATCTGAGTTTCTGGTCTCGATGATTGAATATTTCTTGAAGATAGGCCAACTCTTCATCTGTTGCATTAAATGTTTCTTTTAAATAACTTCCCATAACACCAACAGATTGAGAAAACATTATCAATGGTATATGCTGAAAACAACAAGTATGATCTGTAATCTTTCTTTTTTCTTATATTTCGACTTTTGTTGTAACCGTTTCTTGATATCTAGAATTTAGTTTAATGAGCAAAAATAAGATTCCAGGGATCTATTTAAAAGAAAAAATTTCATTAGAAATAAGAACTCTTTCATATGTTATACCAACGAGTATATGTTTAATTCAAGTTATACATAAAAATAGAAAACAACATAAAAAAATCAAGCTAAAATCTATTAAATTTTTAATTTTAGCTATCACAAGTGAATTGTTAACTATAAAAATGAATAAACTTGAAAAAAAAAACAGTAAAACATATTCAAGTATCAGTATGACACAATGAAGAGATTATATTAAATTCACAAATATGAGCAACTTATAAAATTGAACAATTTGACTTCTTGTCTGCTTTTGTCAAGACTTGGACATTATGACCTTGAGCTGCGTTTTCAACTTGTTCCACAATCTAAACAAAACAAACTAAAACTATGTTTATACCAATATAAACTAACCTTTTCAAAATCAGGAAAGTGCCCAATATTAAGTTTCGAATAGATAAGCTCATTATTAATTGTCACCTCAAACGAAGCTTGAATAAAAGCAAAAATAAATATTCAAAATATATATACAAATGTACTTACTACGCCGTCCAACATCTCCAGTTACGGTAGCATCAGGCACGCGTTCCAAAATTTTTTGACGCAATGCCTGGTACCGTGGCTCGTACCCTCATGCTCCACAATATTCCACATGAACAACAACTGGTTTACCCATTTTTTCGATCAAAATAATACGAGTATGCGTCAATAATAATTTCTACAAAAGAAATTCATATACAAATGACGCATATGACTTCTATTAATATAATTTTTCTTACCTGTACTGTAGCTTACAGTCATTACTTTATGTTTATATAGTAAGAAAAAATAACAAATGTAAGTACGTAACATCATAAGAAACCAATCATTTAAAATGCTTTACTAGATGGCACGCTTCGACAGCAACTAAAGCAAAAGTATATGTGTCATACGATAGACCACATTTAACTCTTAATAATTGAACTTCTTTTTCACAGAACAGAACCAGACAAAATTCTTTTTACCTTCCTCCCATGTCTCTTAACAACTATCAAACTTTTTTTAACGTATTTAAAACAGTACTCTCTACCTAAATATTATTCAGTTCCGCTGTCTTTCGATATTTAGTCACCAGACAAGCTCTGAAGAATCTAGCGTAGGATATGCTTTTAATATACATATATCATTTGGTGTTGTTAGTGATCGTTAATAGAATGAGGCAATAAGTGAAACTTTTTCAGTAACATAAAGATGCAGATAATTGTAAATATACTACTAAATGATAGATAAAACTCTTATATGTCAAAAACATTTGATAGTTAATTAAGAACTTGATTGATTAAATTCTTATAGAACAAAACTTTTATTTGGAAAAATGACATTTCATTATTATACATCGTGTAAAATTTAGGAATAAAAAAAATCAATAAAATAAAATAAAAATAACACTTTACATTCTTTACAACAAAGACTAGATCTAATTTTCGGAAAAAATTTATTTGGCAACTATTGATAATTGAAATTCATTACTAATTGTTGTTGGATGTATTTGTCTTAAAGGTCGACCACAACGTATTATTCGACATGATGTTTTTTTCCATACTTTTAAAAAACGTCGATCAATAAACATAAAAATAAGTGGATCACATAAAGCACTTATTATACTACCAAAACGTGTATAAGAACTTGAATGATAATTCGAAATAATATGAGATACAACTACGTTTGGTGCCCATAATACTAACCATAAAATATAAACAACAAATAATTGAACTAGTAATTGTAAATGTTTACTATGCTATAAAACAAAACAAAAAATAAATATGCTTTTTTTTTTGTAATTTATTCTTTTCTTTACTTGTGATCGAACAGCTTGTTGTGCTCGACGAACATGTATTGTTGTTAATGTCATAAAATAACAATTTAAGATAATTGGAATTAAAAGAATAATGATTAAATTTCCAAATTGAGTTTTTATATCAGGATAATTAAAATGACAACTTCGAGTATGATGATGAGAATGTAATTTCACTATTTGAAATAATTCAACTTGTAATAATAATATACTTATTCCAAAAATATAAAGACATATATTAAGAAAAATAAGAATAGAAGGATATTGATTTGATATATTACAATTTTTTACAATTAAATAATAACGTGTTATATTTAAACAAACTAACATATACGCTTCAAGTACAGTCATATAAGTATTTGTATAAGCTTCAAAATTACAAAATGCATAAAAGATTGAAGGTGAAGTACAGAGTGACATTGTACGAATTGTATATTCCACAAAGAATTGAACAAGTAGAAGAATGTCAGTAAAAAGATAATTATATACCCAAAGCATAGAAATTTGACGAAGTGTTCGATGTGTAGCTACATGTATCCAAAATAATACATGAAATATAAAAGCAGGTATAGCTAGAGCAAGATAAGCTCGACTAATTTGACGATATTCTACGGTCCATGTCATATTGTAGCATTGATAAGACATTTGTTTTTGTTTTTTTTAGTGAAAATGATGTGGAAATAAAAGGCATGACTTTTTATACTTACATCTATTTACGAATGATAATTGATTTGAGTTCAATCGAGTAATACAGAAAATCAAGTCTCAAAAGAAGATATTACTTTACAAAAAAACACCACTGGTAAATAATGACATATGAGAAAATTAGTGTACTCATTTAAATTAAGAAAAACAAGCTGACTTAGTGGAAATTTATTATCAAAACATTGTTCTACTCTTTAATTGTCATATCGTATTAACAAAGATCTGACATTTTCAATTTGCTAGATTTCAATATTTGTAAATTCATTCGGATCTATTTTCTTGAATAATTCTAATACAACTCCTTTACTTCTCGAAAACATTATTATAATTTTTATACAATATGTTAACATTGCTTTGCCACATATATCGTCGTGAATTATTTGTATTATTATCTAGAAGAGTTTCACATGTGAGTTTCTATTATCGAATGAAAGAATGTCCAAAATATTTCCTATAACTTTATTGTTTTATTGATTGCATTATATAAAAAAACCATTTTAGTCTTTAGGAATCATGCTCATCTTAGTTATCATTCCTTCTATAAAAACAATTTGTAATTACTTGTATATTATTTCAGGTTATTTGATAAAGAAAATTAATGATAGTCTTTTAAGATTGTCCTCGACTGCATTTTATTCACAATGAAACAAATTTACATAGAACGATAATAAATGATTATTTCTAAAAGTCATAATATTGCATCGTCTATCGATACTTTCTAATGATGTTTTCTTACTCAAATTTCCATTAAATGTGATTACTAGTAAATGTTCTATCGTAATTGTTTAAATAAAAACTTATGAGTAGTACATGCATTGTATATTTCTAGTTTATCATGAGTAACAATACAGAAAATAGTATGTATTAGAAAAAATTAACTCAATGGTGTTAATTTACATCCTAATAAACCATTGCCGGACCATTTTTTCGGTATTAATGTTAATGTCTGTTGTTCTTTTGTATTAGCACGTTGAACAAGTAATGTAACTGAACGATTTTCGCTATTGTTTACGAGTGATGCAACATCTTGTATTGTACGAAAATTATCTTTACGAATTGTACCAATACGACAAATAAGATCACCAACATGAAGGCCAGCTATTTCAGCAGGTGATTGACTACTAACAATATCAACACGTAAAAATGGTTCTTTATTAGGAAAACTGGTATTGCTAGGAGCTGTCGTTATCGATTCAGTAGTATTCGAAGAATTATTAACATTATTTTCATGAACTTGTATAAGACCGGCTTCGATTTGTTTCATCAATGCTTTATGATCATTTTGTAAACAGATAACTCGTTGTCGTATTTGACGTACTCGAACAAGATCAATATCATTTCTTAAATAGAAAATGAAAAAGAATTATTTATAAAATTTTATTTTATTTTTTTTCAAAGATTACAAAATCATGTTCACTTGATTTTCTTTACCTTGGATATCCATCTCTATCAACAAGTTCTTCTGTCATTCCAACATTATTTTGTAATTTAAGTTCATTTGCTAAATCATTTAATTCTTTTTCAATATCATCTTTTTGTTTTATTAATTCAAGTAATTCTTCACGATTCATATTTATCTATAAAAAAAAAAAACGAAAAATCGTGCAATTAAAAATAAAAAAAAGTTCATTCTAAAAAAAGTACATTATCATACAATTGAGATAAATATTAAAATCAAAAAAATAAATTAATTAATGTCATGCAATTAGAAAAAATAAATAAATCACAGATGAGTATTATCAATAATTTCTATGAAATCCATTTTCGTTCAAAATTAAAATTAAATGATTGTTTAGTTGGTACACGTGGTGTATATGAACCTGGACCAGGTCGTTCAGCTGATGGAGTTGATTCAATTGCCCAACGACTTGTACTTGAAACAAATGCAGCTGATGACATATATTTCTTTTCTATTTCTTTATAATCACGAAGTTCATAAGCACCTGGACCAGGAAATGGAGCTTCGGGAGGAGGTGGAATAGCTGGAGCAGAAATAGTCAAATAATGATGGCGTCTTAAAATAAAAAAATTATTCGTATTGAACGAAAAACAAAAACATTTATATATTAATAACATACGGAAGTACTTGTCGATGATATTCTTCTTTTATTTTTTCAAATGGTCGATAATCAGCTGGACCTGGTAACTTTAAAAAAATAATAATTCAAATAGTATGAATATTTATGATGGTTATTAATATACTTTACTAGCCGATTCAACACTAAATGTATCACGTTTCGAAGTTGATTTAAAACTTGATTGATGAATAGGTGCTAATGATCGTGTTGCTGAATCATCCAAATTATATGTACCTTAAGTATATATTCGAATTATTCAATTGTTTTATTCTTATAAAAGCAAAAAATAAAATACATACCCGGAGCAGGTGTAATAAAATATTTATTAGTTGCATCAGATCTTCTTGTATGTGAACGAAAAGCAGCTTGAGCTGCAACATTATTTGATTTAGTTATTGTTTTCAAGCCTTGATTAATCTGTTAAGATAATAAAGAATTGAAATTAAAGAAAAGTAAAAAGAATAACAATTTATTAACATCATATTGATTTGGTGCTGGAATTGATGATTTAGGTGATAATGGTCGTTCAGCAATCGGTTTTTGAAACATACTAGAATATTTCGATCTATTAAAACCGTGATGTTCAAAATCAAATATTCCTGCAATATTATAACTTGTCGGCGCTGGAAAATTTGTTGATCGATTTAGAGAACTCTCTCGTTTACTCTATATATCAATAGAAATATGTATAGAATAGGAAAAAAGAAAAAAAATATGTTAAATACTTTGGAAGCAAAACTACCAGAACCTTTCTTTGAATCGGAAGTTCTTTCTAATTGTTTATCTAATGATTGTATTGTTTCATATTGGCCCGGACCAGGTGCAAAGGTCTATAATAGTTAAATAATGATCGTTTAGAATAATCAACATTATGACATACTGGATCATGTTGAAAACGTCTAGCAGTTTGTTGAAAACCTCGTTTTTCACTATTACTTGTAACAACAGTTAAATAACGAGATGGAATCGATGCAGTACCCGTTGTACAAATAGTAAATCCTTCAATAAGATGTAAAAGAAACATAGAAGTAAAATAAAGAAAATTCAAGCAATTTTTATCATAATTCAAATTAGAATACTATTCGAGCTTGTACATAAAGAAAGAGAGCAAAGCAAGAATACTAACTTTATCTTTAAAAGCTAAATTTCAATTGTAAGAAAATTATTCGAAAAAAAATTAGTTAATTTATTTTGATTTACCTCGACGAACTTTGCTTCCTTCGGGTTGTAGATTTTTAGATCTTTGTGATACGTGTCCTTTGGCAATACTATCCGTTTCCGCAACCGTCATTTTTGATATATCCTAACTTCTTTTCAAAGTTATCTAGAAAAAAATTAGTTCCGTGGATTAATACCAGTTAAGAATACAAATTATCGTTGAAGTAAAAGAAATATCTTTTAGTATGAAAATATATTTAGATAGTACTTTAACTTTAAATTGCACTGCCATAACAGCTATCTGATTACTCAATTAATTTGTCTAGAAGAAAATAAAAACAACTATCTGCTGATTGTACTATTTATTTGTCTTCAGTTTTTGCTTTGTTTTTTAGCACGTCGTTCGGCTCGAATTTCTATCCATTTTTGACGTTCCATTGTTTTCACATATTCCATAAAATTTACGTCGAAGTCTTTAGTTAAATAATTAGTTGTATCAAAATAATCATCATCTGGTGCGTCATAATTTGTATTTGATAGAATATAAAGAGGTCCATGACGAACAAATGGTATATATTTTACTATCAACCTAAAACTTATTTAAAAACATTCAGTAATTAACCTATGGTCTGAAGTTTTAGCACAAAATATTCGTCCATTTTTTGACCTCTGTACAAAATAAGATATTACATTAAGCGAAGTTTTGTCTATGGATTTCTACTAGAAAATTAATTTCTATGGAAATCGACATTGGTAAAAAATTTCTATTTCAAAAACTACTTCTGAAAATACAAAAATCTGTCATGAAAGATAAAATAGAAAAATATATAACCTGTTTTATAGAACAAACTTTGCTTTAGAAAACTGACTCAATAAAACTTGTTTCACATTTTGACTGTCATAGATTTTAATCTGTCTTCATAGTGTCATTCAGTCAGAATATAGAACAATGATTATCTCGAAGAGATAACTTCAGAGGTCTAACAAATTCTGCAACAATACTTTCAAATTATAGAAAACAATGACACAATAAACACTTCCTCTGAGGAAACAAGAAAAAATGTGTTCGATTTATTTTCCATCTCTTCCATAGATAAATGTTCAAATAATTATATACAAACCGAGACTGAATAAATAATTAGAAAAAAACCAATGAATTTATTTTGTTTCTACAGTATAAACTATGTCTTCTCACTACTGTTATACTCATCAAAGTATATAAACAAAATATTTAAAAGTATGAAAAGCTGTTGAGGCAATCTCAGTATGAGTACAACTTCAAACATAATGGAGCTGCTGTCATTGTAAAAAGAAAAGGAATCCATTAACATATGTTTTGGTTTATGAAGTACTCCCTACTGTTAGTCACAATATATTTCAATCAGTATGAAATAAATGCAAAGAACAGATATATTAAACCCAGTCGTATTTCATACTAACGTTGCATTTGATGAGTCCCAAGCTCTGTGATATAAAGAGAAAAGCATTATTCAGGTGTTTTTTACGATTTTTGAATTGCTAAAGTTTCAACTCTAAGTTTCTCACTAGTATGACATGCAATCAAGTTCAATACCATCTTATGTCATAGTGTGCATAAGTCGCTATAAAGTAAATATTTACTTTCTATTAAAGAAGCTTTTTAAAAAAAATTATTACCAACATTGAAATTTTTTTTTGTTGTTATTTGGCTTCTGCTGCGGGTTCACTAAGAATGGAAGATCAAGTTTTTATTCTTATAATTCAGCATTCCTTTTAGATAGAATTTCACTAAAAGAGTTGTCATCTGGGAAAACTTAAAAAACAAAAAGAAATCCATTGCATCATAAATTATTCATGATTTCGACAAAAATGAAGCAGTACATATATGTAAAATCATTTAGTATTTACACGTTGTAGTATAGATCCCAGTGATGATGTTTACATCATCACCCAAGGTACCTTTAATAGGATAGATCAATCTTTTCAAAAAAAAATCTTCTTTTTTTCAACAATATAAGAAATATACGACGACTATAAAACCAGCTTATAATCGAAATACAAAATTAGCCAAATTAGTGTTTTGTAGAACCACTATTTTTCACTTTTTCAAACAATCTGATAATAGTTGTTCAATCTTACCTTGGAAGGAAACTCTGAACACATCTTTGAGAAAAGTGAAAAAGTCTGGCTCTAATAAATTCTCTTTTAAGTGGTCAAAAAATGAGTGAATATTTTGTGCCAAGACACTCGTTCCCATACGTTGATTTTAAAGATAAAATCTTTTTTTCTCTGTTTACGAAAGATAATATCCCTGTGAGAATTCTTCTATTTTATTCCTACTTGTAAAGTTTGTTGATAAAGTTTTTCGCTTTCAATTTTTAATTTTTCAAGTGTATTGTCTTTTGATTTGAGTGCTCGCAAAATAAATATTATTTCTTGTTGATGTTTATGTTTAGCTCAATCACAATGTAACATTAAACAATAGGTTATTTCTTCAGAAGTTGATTGAATAGGTGAACATTCTGGAATACTAGAAAAGAAAGAAAATTTCATATAAAATAATATCTCACTTGTTTGTTTCTTTTAATTTATTTATTATCCTCACTCAAGTTCTTTAAGAATTCTTCTTTCTGATTTATATTCATGAATTTGTTTTAGTTGAAGTTTAAATTTTACAAGTTTATTAATAAATCTTTCATAACAACATGGTTTACAATCTTCTCTTATGTTTATTTCGTCGTTGGATCATTTTTCTTTTTAGTTCATGTTGGTTGAGCAGAACTGATAGATATTAAATATAATGACCAATGAAATATATTTTTTTAATAAAAATATTTTTTTATAAAGATAAAAATCTATTTCCATTCATCGTTAAGTTAAATGTAACGAAATGAAAATTTGTATCTATAGACACATTGTCAGTTTGTTGTCTTATTAACCAATCAAATGAAGAATTGATTTATTTATTTGATTGGTTAAATATTCTAAACAATACGAATTGATTCTCTGTTTTCATATATTAAGAAGCACTGCAATAATGTATCGTTTCGCAAGAATTCTTTTAAATCGTCAGAAATATTTACCATTTTATATTCCATTATTATCAACAAAAAATAAACAATATTCTAGTAAAATTAATTCATCTATACCATATACTCTTCTTTTTGCAGCAAGTTCTTTAAGTTTATATGAAATTTATAAACATTATCGTCTATATGCATTATCAAATAATGAATCAATACCTTCAACACCAAAAGGTCCATTAATAGTTGATAATCAAACACCATTAATTGAAAAAGTTCCATATTCAAAACAATATAATTTTATAGCTGATGTTGTTGAACATGTTGCACCAGCAGTTGTTCATATAGAAGTTGATCTTGAGCCAATGCCATATTTTGGACATTTTAATTCATCAATAGGTACAACAAATGGTTCAGGTTTTATTATTAATGAAACAGGACTTATATTAACAAATGCACATGTTGTACGTAATAGAAAAAATGTTAAAATTAAATTAGCTGATGGACAACGTTTCACTGGAACTGTTGAATATGGTACAAAAGAAAATTGTTTTGGTTATGTAGAAAAAAAAAAATCTTGATGATATTTTTTTTTTTTTTTTATCTAGTGGATATGGTTGCAGATTTAGCTGTCGTGCAGATTGATTCAAAACAACAAAAATTACCCTATTTAACTTTAGGTGATTCAGATAAAATACGTGCTGGTGAACATTGTATTGCTGTTGGTAGTCCATTAGCATTATCAAATACTGTAACAGCTGGTATTGTTTCAAATGTTGGTCGAACAAGTAGTGAATTAGGGTTATTTGGACGTAATATAAATTATATTCAAACAGATTGTATGATAACAGGTGGTAATAGTGGTGGTCCACTTGTTAATCTTGATGGACAAGTTATTGGTATTAATTCAATGAAAGCAATGACAGGAATATCATTTTCATTACCAATTAATTATGCAAAATTATTTTTAGCTGATGTTGAAAAGAAAAAATTAAAACAATCAATATCAAAACAAATAACATCAACAACTAATCGTCGACAAACACGTTATTTAGGTATTAAAATGTTTTCATTAACACCACAGATTATTGAAGAAATGCGTTATCGTATGCCAATGACATTTTCAATAAATAAAGGTGTTTATATTGCTGGTGTTGTGTTAGATTCAACTGCACAACGTGCTGGTCTTCAACCTGGTGATATTATTATTCAGGTTAATGGACATGATATTGAAACAAGTGCGGATCTTTTAAAACATGTTCAAGAAGATGAAACATTAAATTTAAGAGTTGTTCGTAATAATGGACTTGTATTTGATATTTTAGTCACACCTGAATCTTTCGAATAAATATTAATTGAATTTTTTTTTTCGTTTTAGATGAAATATTAATTTAGGTTTTATTTAAGAAAAAAAAACAGAACATGCAAACACTGAGATTTTTACCATGGATTCGACGATCGTATGCAAATTTACATGTAAATCGATTTGTGTAAGTTTTGTTAGCGAAAAATTCTATTGTTTATTTTAATGAATATTTAAATAAATTTCTATAGAAAGAAATAATATAGTAAAACGAATGCTTAATTCTTAAATTGTAGAGATAGTCAAGATGTTTTCTAATTCATGTTTGAATATTTTGACTAATGTCAATTACATTTGACGAATATTTTTCATTATTTTAGTGAGATATTTGAGAATTGACATCCCTGAATTATAATTCCTTCCGATTTATTTGAAAGATGATATGTATCATCATCGACAATAAATCTAAGACGTTTTGTTCAGATAAACTATTTAATAAAAAATGCAACTTCAAGTGTTTTGTGTTCATCTGTAACTAGAGTTTAACCGAGAATTCGGATCCTGAGTATGATCTGACGTCGGGCATCCGACTGGGCAATATATAAGATCTCAACGTTCAAAAATATTTTAGTTTTTCAAACTGTTAATTTATTTAAAAACATAGGAGTAAAAACCGGTTCCATCATGACTGAACAATATATTGTACTTGATAGCAGATCACGGAAACGTTAACGGTACTGTTTTAATAAAAGAATTTGTTTTTAATGAAAACTCATCTACAGATGATGATAAATCATACGGTGGAGTAACTGAATTATCAAAAATGTAAACATGTATTATCATGATGGAAAATACATTCATGTATATATCCATAAGTATGACGCGTGGCACCAACGCTGCGTTCCATTCCGGCATCATCAGCAACAAACAAACGTATACTTAGCGAAATCGATCAGATTTTAGAAGCAGCAGGACATCGAGTGGATCCTGAATCACTTGTTTTTTTTTTTTGTGAAATTTGATATGATCTCTTTTTTTTGTTGCTGTTTGTGGAGAAAACTAAATGGTATATTTTTCCATATAAAATAAAAGTTTGAAAACCGTACTGTGAAAGCGAAATGTCGTGTACCCATGCAGGATAGTCTTTGAAAATAACATCAATATATTGCTTTCAATTGATATATGAAAATTAGAATTAAACGTAATTGAAAACTGTTTTCCCTTGATTATCTGTAAAGATTATAGATGATTAGAATTTAATTTTTTTTTTCTTTTGAACTCTTAAGATCAAACACAACAAAACCAAACAAAGAAATAATCGAACAAGTTCGTCCTACATCGGAAGAATCTATAACTACACGTAAAGATCGTCCACGTTTAGAAGAAGAAGGTTTAGAATATGAATATAAAGATGAATTAGATGTTTTACGTCGTAAAGAACGTTTAACAGTTGATTCAACAAATACACAATATATGACTATTGTATTTAATGGAGAATTTGATCGAGATATATTAACATATCCAGAATTATTAACTAAAACTGAATCAACTCAAATGAATACATTATGTGAACGTTTAAAAAAATTTACTGATTCAATTGATCGAAATAAAATCGAAAGAGATAATCATATTGATAAAGATATTTATAAAGAAATGTGTAAATTAAAATTACATGGATTAATTATACCAGAAGAATTTAGTAAGAACTATTTTTTTACTATTATTATTATTACTTTATTTCTCAAATTTTAATTATTCATTTATAGATGGTCTTAGTTTAAATAGTCAATTATCTGTACGTATGTTTGAAGAATTAGCAGTTAGTCCAACAATTACTACTCAATTATTAGCACATACAGAATACGGAGTTAGAAGTAAACTTTTTTTTTTGCTTATTGAATATTCATTAAAAATAAACATTAATTATAATTAAGGTTTACTTGTTTATGGTACGGATGAACAACAACGTTATTATTTACCTGAAATGTCTATAGGTAATATGATAGCAACAGCTTGTATAACAGAAGCAAAAAGTGGTAGTGATATACGAAATATTGAAACAACAGCAACTGTAAGTGATACAGATCCAAGTACATATATTATTAATGGAAAAAAAATGTGGGTTACAAATGGACTTAATGCTAATGTATTTCTTGTTTATTGTAAAACAAAAGAACGTCATACATCAGATGATTATGATGATCGTTTTTCATTTTTTCTTGTTCATCGTGATATGCCTGGTGTTACTATATCACCACCAATATCGACACTTGGTTTACGTGGTCTTGGTTTAACACATATTGAATTTAAAGATGTCAAAGTTAATGCTGTACATCATTTAATAGGACAACTTGGTGAAGGATTAAACATACTAAGAAATTTACATGGTTATGTACGAACAACTCTTTCAGGTTAGAGAACATATTAAGTCTTTTTTTTGTTTTCTTCAAGTAAAGATCATCTTTCATTCTCAGCAACTAATATAAATGCTAGTTACAAATTTTTCCTAAATATGAAATTTCTTTGTATTCTATTATGTTTTAAGAATATTCATCTTCAAATATGCTAGTAAAGTCTAGATTGAAGTTTATCGATGTATGATCTAACTTCAATTTTTATAGGCATAAACAAGAATCTCTTTTGTATTTCGTTGAACAGAATAATGTCAAAGAAAGAAAGGAACAGAAATGCGAGTGTAAAAATTTTAACATGGAAAAAGGGCAATGATTAAATATTATATTTAATAATATGCAAATAATTAAAATAAAATGAGCGATCGAGATGTAATCAGACAGTATGTTCATTCTTTTTGCAGCCTTTTAAAGAAGCATGCTGAAATTTGTATGCTTTTCGATTATGGATGTAAAATACGTGTAGGAGTTATGAGCTAACATTTTTTTACGGCCTATAAATTAAGTTTGGATGAAATTTAGTCGTACCAAATATTACCAAAAGTAGAAACTAAACTTATTTCAAATATAGCGAATAAAACATCAAACATTTCTCAATAAAATGGTACAGTAAAGATTAGTTAGCTGTAAGGCATTTGTTAATAACGAATACTATGGTAAGGACCATCGTATCAATTTACGCAGTTTTCTCGATTTCTATGAAAAATAAACTTACAATGTGAGTTCGAGAATAACCTGAATCATTGTTCTTAAACTCTTGATTCTTATATCACTTTCTAGAGAACAATTTAGCAGACTATAACCGAAAAAAAACGTCATTTTTCTCTGTCTAAACTTAACTTTCGTGCTTCGTAAAGATTAGCTAATAAATTTTAAACTAGAAATCCTAGAAAAATTACGAATTCATCTTCGAAAAGGACGCGTAAAGTTCTGATTCTAACCCAATGTTTTTCAAATATCTGTAGGTTCCAAAAAAAAAAACTGAAAAATGAACAAACGTTTTCTCTAATTACTTTCCGATCATCCGTTATATGATGACTAGATGTGAATGTGAGTCTTCTGTTTATTTTAATTTTCTTTTTTCATGCTTAATTTTTCGGCACTGAACATCATCGTTTACCAATCCATAATAAAAAAAAAAAAACATCTATTTTTAATTAAAATCAAAAATTTTTAGGTATGTGTGTTGGTGTTAGTAAACGTCTAATTCAATTAGCATCTGAACGAGCTATTCAACGTGAATCTTTTAGTCGTAAATTAATGGATCAAGGTTTAATTCAAAAACGTCTATTCCATATGGAAATCGATACATATACAATGGAATCAATGACATATTTAACAAGTGGTATACTTGATTCATTTTCAATGCCAGTTATATCAATTGAATCAGCATTAACAAAAATTTTTGCTACAGATCGTTTATATCGTATAGCAAATGATTGTCTTGAAATATTTGGTGTTGAAGGTATTGAAATTGGTCATCCAGTTGAACAATATCTTCGTGATATACGTCCATGGTCAATGTTTGATGTACCAAATGATGTTTTACGTTTATTAACTGCATGGGAAGGTGTTATGAGTGTTAGTACAGTTATTCATGATTTTGTACGAAAAATTCGAAATCCAATACATTTTCCTGGAACTAAATTACGACATTTATTAACTGGTTGGACTTCCCAAGCACAAGCAATGCGTGCACCATTTACTTTTAAACATGATCTATGGGAAAAAGTAAATACTGAAAAGAAAATTTAATATAATTAATTAATTTTTAATTAATTTAGGTTCATCCATCTTTAGGTATTCCAGCAAAAGATTTAGAATATGCTGTATTTGTTTTACGAAATGTAACTAAAGAAACATTAACAAAATCTGGTCGTGATATAATTGATAATCAGTTATATTTAAGACGTCTATCTGAAATAGTGATGGAAATCTTTGCAATGACAGCAATGTTAGGTCGTTCATCACGTGCATATTCAATTGGTTTAAAAAATTGTGAACATGAAACTGAAATGACTTTTCTTTATTGTAAACATGCACGTTTAAGAATTGATAAATTAGCTAAAGAAATTCATGAACATGGTTTTAAAACAGGTGATGAACATTTACAACATTTAGCTAAACGAGTAAGAAATTATTTTAATATTTATTAACAAAATAAAAGATACCTTTTGCTTTTTTTTTTTTTTTTCTTAGATGTTAATAGCTAAAGGTTATCCAATAACAACACCATTGGAACGAACATATTAAATTTTTTTTACATTTGTTTTTTTTTTCTTCAGTTGATAGGAAATTGAAAGTGTTTTGTTTTTGTTTTTCTAATGTATCTCAGTTTTTCAGATTGATAGATTTGTTTTAAAGAAAAATTATTATATTATGGGTCGTCTTACTCCTGAAGTAATTGAAGCAGCTTCTCAATATCTTAATCCTGTCGGTCAATATGAACTTAGTCTACGTGGTAAATAAAATACATAATTTTATATTTGAATTATTTAAATTATGAATATTTAGATTTAAAAATTCCTGTTATTGAAAATTTGGGTGCAACATTAAATCAATTTGATACAATCGATTTTACGAATAATGATTTACGTAAACTTGATGGTTTTCCATTTTTACCTAAATTAAAAACACTTTATCTTGCAAATAATCATATAGCGTAAGAAGATTTTATAGATTCATTTTAATATATTTTATTTTTATTTTCATTAATTTTATTTATTTTAGACGTATCGCTGAAAATTTACAAGAATATATTGCAAATTTAGATACATTAATGCTTAATAATAACATGTTGCAAGAATTATCCGATATTGATCCACTTGCAACATTACCAAAATTAACTCATGTTAGGTAAAATTCTTTGTTGAATAAGGAGGAAAATAAAATGATTTCATGTTTTTTTTTAAGCTTTGCTCGAAATCCAATTGCTATGAAAAAGGATTATCGTCTATATGTTATTCATGCGTTACCTAATTTACGAACACTTGATTATAATCGAATTACCCAAAAAGTATTTATTTATTTCTTCATTTTTATTTCATCAATTACGATTTTATGTTTCATAGGAACGTGAAGCATCTCGTAAACTCTATAAATCTAAATCTGGTGATAAAGCGAAGAAAAAACAAAAAGGAGCTAATACATTTATACCTGGTGCAGAATTAGCTAAACAACAACAACAACAAGCACCACGAATGACTAAGAAAGATGCTGATGCTATCAAAGTTTTTATTTATCTCTTTTTGTATTTTCTCAAATTCATCCTAATAAATTTCAGAAAGCTATTTTGGAAGCTAAATCAATAGAAGAAGTCGAAAGATTAAAAGCTATGTTACAAGCTGGTCAAATGCCGCATTCAATGGAACAAAAACAACATCAAAATGGTCATAAACCAAATACAGAAGGGATGGAGCAAGAACAATATTCTGGTAATAGGAGTTCTTAATAAATTTTATATCTATTCGTTCCTTTCTTTTTAGGAAATAATATAATGGAAATATAAATGATATGGTCTTCTATGAACTTTTCTTTCTGTTTTTTATGTATCGTTATTGTTTTGTTCGTTTATTATTGTTCATCTGTTTCTTTGTATACAAGCCCGATGAGAGCAAAAAAAACTTGTTTATTCATTTTCTTTTCAGATAGGAAATAAAAAAAAAATCAATGACTATTGAGATCAATGTCATTTCAAAATTAGCTTGTATATAGAAAAAGAATATTTTCTAAACTATTGAATAAATTCAAAATTGAGATCTTATAGTAAGCTTAACTATGAAAAGAATAATTCTAAATATGTGTGAACGTTAGATGTGGGTGAATTTGCTGATAAAGTGTAAAATCTTTCGTTAGACAACTACTAATCGACTACTGTTTATTGAGTCTTAATGTCATAGACTCCGTTGAACTAGTTTTCATGAAGCAAAGTAACATAATTTGCTGGTCACAACTTTGGTTTAAACGATCATTAGCTACTCAGTGATTGGTTGATAACCGTCAAACTTTCGGGTATACTAATTGTTTCTTATAATTATGATAGAACCATGATCTAGTACTACTGATAAAGCCCAATACAAGATGGAGTCGGTCGGTCTTCACCGAGCCTTGTCAGTAAATGACTCTTTAAACATATCAGCAAAATTGAAGTAAACGCAGGAGAAATTGGGCTTAGAGTATCTTCTACTGATTTGTATGTGCAATGAAAATTATCGTGTATTTTCCTAGAATAGTGCTATGCATCTCTTTCAATTACGGTATTTGAAGACAAATCTAAATGGATTGCATTTTCAAAGTTGACATTTCTTTCTGCAAAGAAACGAAATTAATTCATGATTATACAATCTAAAAATGCTAAGTGTTCTTGCGATCGTGCAAAAAGCGCAACAACTTTTCTTACAAGTTAAACCCATTTTTCATTCATGTAAAATCATCCATCGGAAATGTTCTTGTGCAGATCCAAAATATATAAGTGGAATATCTGCGCCATATAATCTTAAGAAAACGGCAAAAGATAACAATGGATAAGAGATAAAAGCCCGAAATGTCAAAAATGATCTAGAATGGATAGGAGAAACGTACACTCAATTTAGCATGTTTTGAGAGAGCTGGACTAGAAAATCTTTTCAGTAATCTATGAATCACTTCAGCTTGATTGTTTGTCGAGAAGATTATTTACGTGCAAATGAAAATCGAAAAGGTTTTAGACGATCAGGCAAGTAAGCAGTTTAATGAATGATTTGAAAATGGTAGTACACTGTTGATGATACCTTATGACATCTCACGAGATTTCTATAATATTGAACAAAAATAAATTCAGTGCCATTGAATTTCGCCACATCTTGTATATTCTCTTATAGTAACTAATTAAAAACCATACTATCATTCATTAATTATAATAATCGAAATTTGTACAGTGAGAATCTCTACTTTTATTTTATTTCTGGTAGTCTTTTAAATATCCGGGTCAACAAGGATATTATTATTTTTACATTGTGTTACAACCGTGCATCAACACTCGTTTTCGATAGATTTTCTGTAATATCGTAAATTACTTTGTTCTGAGTCATTATTGCAGAGAAATTATACTGCTGAAATTCTTGATGACCCATAACAAATAACAACAGCATCCGAGTAGTTGATCAACGTTTTCCCGTTGGCTATCGACAACTCACTGACCGATCTCAACGTTATGCTGTATTCTTTGTAGACTTATTCCGGCGATGTCCAAGGCATCAATGATATCTGCATTGCAACCGAATCCTTTTAACTCAAGAATAACAGCGAGGATAAGTTCAGGAGTATAAGTCTATTTTTGAGCCTTGTATGTCAAACAGTATGAATCAACGGCGATACAATGACCTTCAACCAATCCAGGTTTGACAGACAAAACTTCCACTTTGTTCTATTGGCCTGAAGCAGTTCGCGCGTATCAATGTTGATCACTTCGAAGATGCGTACGAGCTTATTGACAAAGGCAATATTAATGTCGTGTTGTGAATTCTCTGTCATCTTGGCGATTTCGGCTATTTTGATCGACGATACCGCAAAGGTTTCGACTTTGATAGTCTCTCGATAGAATTCATCAACTTCTGGAGTAACTTAGGACGTTGATCCTGAAGTAATCTTTCGAATGGTTGTCAGCGTATGGATCTTATCGTCCTGATTGATGCGCTCTGATGAGTAGCCGCAAAAGAAATCAACCTAGAAGTGAAGTCTGCTGGCTTTTTCGAGCACGTGGGCACAAATTTCTTAGGTAACATTAGGATACACCGTAGATTCACAGATGACAATGCCGTTTTTCTTGAGAACGTTACGTACCGTTTCGGAGGCTTTGATGAGTGGGCATAAACCGTGACATTTTTTCTAGTCGATTAGTGTAAGAATGACAACAATGAAGATTTGTGCCTGACGACGATCATTAGAACAGGAGGTATACTTAAGGAACGTGGCTGCTTTTATATGCTCGGTGCTGATTTCTGAATTCAGATCCTGATCTCATGTCGAAACTGATGGTTTGCCGACATTTTCCAAATTCAATAGCTAGTGGAAGGCTGCCCTAGTCAAGGCTTATAACTGCAATTGTTTTCATCTAAAAGTCAATATTTCTTTATGACTGTTTTATCAAATATTGATTTTCTTGAGAACAGTTATCGAACGAACGAGTATTTCAAGGTGTCACATCGTTTTGGATCTGCTATTTGGGTTCTGTGTTGCGAAACATTTAAGTAGAATAATCTTAAGTCGATTGGCTTGTCTGGGACTTTGAAGCTAATTGGTGTTTGTTTTACTAGAATGTTTATTCGTGGAACTAGGTTTGTCTTGACATTATGTTCATGAATGTGTTTAAGAGCAGCCAGAATACTCTAAAAGTTTCAAAAAAAAAGTAAATACATCCTTCATTAAATATTCAACTTGCAAAATTTTACGATTTTGCAGAAAAAAATGATCTGAACTGAAATCCTTCCACAACTTGATATCATATGCCGGATGTATTTGTTTTGTCTGAAACATTCCGAATATCCTAGGACATCTCTCATACATATTCATGGACATCATTTTAAGACGAAACTCAGTGCTACGCATGAAAAATTGGGCAAAAACAGCCGTCAACGTTCCAGACAAGTGAAATAACTCAATAATATTATAATAAAGAATTTCGTAACACGTGAAAATTGAGTGGCTTTTCTTATATGAATTATATTCAAAAATGCAGTAGACGGCATAGACATCAATAGTAAAAATAGTAAAATAGAGCGAAATAGAAATGAATACCCATCTAAAAATATTAGGCAAAAAATCAGATTCAAATCGCTTAAAACTATAAACTTTTAAATGATTATAATTTAACATAGTGCAAAAAATCAAAATTTCAATTATTATTCTGATTAATTTGTATTTTTAATCGATTGAATATTGTACAAAACAATATCCCTTTTAATTTTTTTTTCTTGACGATAAGTGGTAGAATCTGTAAACAATTTTCTTTGGTTTGTATCAATTATAATTAATCGTTTTTATTAATATTAAATCCATTATAATCGAAATTAATTTGAATACCCAATGAAATTTTGATTTCATACATTTTATTTTTAGATTACAGTCGATCAAAGTTGTACAAGTTTAATCGACTTCAATCTGATTTTTCGCTTAATTTCTTACGTGTATATTATACAATGACAGTTTCTAGTATAAATCTTTAAAATAATCTAATTTAGAAACTATCTGTAGCAAAACTTCTGCATTTTACTTGGTAAATTTGATAAAGAATGAAACTTTGCATAGAACACAACCATTTAGAGTCAACATGAAACAAAAAATGGATTCTGTCAAACACTAACATAATATAAAATGTAAGTGAAATGAGACAAAAACAACATAGGTTGTCATATACCAGAAAAATACATCGGTTTTATCTAGGAAAATATTTATTCGATGAGTTCATATGAGCAATAATTATCATTTATTCACCATTAGAAAGCAAGGCGGGAAAATTGAGAGTCCATAAGTGGGAGTACAGCTGAAGTACAGTGAAGTCCAGTGAATACATTCTCCTCGTACTTCATCTAGACTTCACTGTACTTCAGCTGTACTCCAACTTTTGGAGTCTCACTTCTTCCCCCTTGATTAGAAAGTCATTTCAAAGAAACATGATATCTTTTTCAAGAATTATAGTCACAAAAATTCTAAATAAATCAAATAATAAATATCAATTCATCAGATATATCAATCATTGTTTATCAATTTATCAATGTCACATGAAGATTTTCCAGTAAATATATGTATTTGATAGGCACGACACATTCGGAGATAAATATTCTTCAACTTCTATTCGATAATTACTATGCTTTACAGTCGATGATATTTTTCAACAAGTACCCTTTATATTTACTTGTGCCATTGACTACGGGTTTAAGTCTAACGAGAAAAAAGAACAAGTATTCTGTTCGTATTATTCGCTGATATATAGACGATTATGAAGGTATGTTTTGACTATCTCATCTTTCGTTGTTTTCTATCTTTTTATTTGTTAATTCAGTGGACGTATTTTCTTCTTATTTTAACTTTAATTACCGTTGCAGAATCAGATTCGGATGAGTTTCAAAGTAACTATATTATGTTATCAATAATTATTTTTATTAATTTTATTATTCTTCTAGTTACACCAAATGAAGCTTTACAATTTCTTTTTCGTGCTCGACGTAGTTTTCTTCATCCAGGCAAGACAAAATGTGAAGAGCAAAAACGTGAAGCTCGTAAAGCTTATGAAGAAAAATGTTCAATGTTAGGTAAACGTTTTTGTCCAAAATTAAGTGCATGGAAAGATTTTCAGCAATGGGAAATTGGTGGTGGTTATGAAAGTAAAAGAAATCCATTACCAACATTAGCACCAACTCCACAAATACCAACATTACGTACATATCATACACGTCTTTACACACCAGCAACATTACGTACATATAGAACACCGATGTATGGATCGATGACAATACAAGAAAATTATCGTACACCTGTGTATGGAAATAAATTTGTAACACCTAATCCTTTTGATGATTAAAACTTTTATAATTAGTATTATCTAATTAGTGACAATGATGAATGTAAAAACTTTTTCTTCTTATTGAACCAATAAATTTTCACTGCACTACAGTTATTATCATTGTATTTGTTAAGTTTCTAGATTCATAATAATTGAGAAAGTTCTAAGAAAGAGTAGTTCGTTCTTCAAATATTGGTATGATATTCTTAGCTGGTATAACTGTCTCTTGATAATAATATTATCTATGGACCTAGAAAATCTTCATTTAAGTAAGCATATATAAATATGAATAAAAATTTGATTTACAAATGTCTAGAAAAAAAAAGAGTATAATGTAACATGATGATGTAAAACATGCTGTTACTAGTTTAAAGATTAAAATTCAATCAAAAACAAAAAGAATTTATAGATGATTAAAATTGAATTTGATTGATGTCTTATGTTGAGATAAATTTATAGCTGCTACTTCATTCGTATTGTTGACATTAGCATGAAAAATAATCGAACGTTATCGTAAATAGACATCAGTATATCATCGCCCTTAAGTGAATTATTACTTTTGTTGATAACGATAGAATTACTGTTTACTTTTATTATTGTTAATCCTATGACCAGTTTTGAATCGAACAAACGCTAATGTAAAAATTTCAAGATTTTCAATTAATCTTTTCAGATTCACTCAAATTAAGAGCACGCTTAATCCATGGATTATGTGAAACTGTAGTACAATCGAAAATAGTTTTATACAGTTAAGAACAAGTATCATCAATTATAATATCATTTTCTGAATGACGATTAGTTTGTAAATTCGAGAATTAATGATCAAGATTAACATATCAAGTTGATTTATGGAACCATTGTTTTCATAAGACGAGCAACATTTGCATATAAATTATCTTCATTTAAACGATAAATACATATTCCATTTTTGAAGTGAAATTAAAAGGATAACTGACTTCGAATAATTAAATAACATGTGTAGATAGTACTAGTTTTTGATTAAATAAGATTATCATTACCGAATTTTTTAATAAGTTATTGAATTTATAACGGACTAATAACTGTTCTCAAACTTTTGTGTAATCATACTAGTAAAAGGTGCATGAAAACCTGATTTAGATTTATAGTATAACTATTGACATGATCAAGTGAGTTTGCAATAGTGATATGATCTATAAAAAACAACAATAACAATAGTTACTACATGAAATACGATTGTTGAGAATATCACTCGACTTATTTAAAGTATATCTATATTTTGGAAACTTCACGCAATAGTTCGAAGAAGGTGCGTGTATAAATGAGTTTTATGATGTTGATTGATTAACTATGCAATAATTAAATACAGATTGAAAAGAAAACACTGAACGAAGTGTGGTTGAGACCTTCGCTGAACTCCTCAAATGTAACTAGAATCAATAAAATAAAGCAGTAATGATGTACGGTTAAAAAAAGGCTCGTAATTTCCTTGAATCGAATGGAGAATACTACCCATTATTTATGAATTAACAGTTATAAGGTTAATAGTAACATCTGATATTTACTATAGAGCAAAATAAGAACACAATTAATTTTAAAATGATGTCTAATTACAACAAAAAAAAGAAATATATCATCAAAAGTGAAATAATGAATTTCCTAATCCAGCATAAAATATCGATTCAAGTATGACAATAGTTCTCTTATAATGAAATGATCAACAACATCAGTTGATATCATGCGAAATTTTATTGGTAAATCCAAATTAGAAACGGGCAAACTAATTTTTAAATTGTTCTTTCAGATCATGTATATGTTCTTTAAACTATTTTTGAACACTAGATAAAGATTTCTGATACTTTTTCAGAAGTTATGAACTTAAGGCTTTTTTGCTGGTAATACAATATCTATTGAAGTATGATCTACCTCATCAATTCTGAAATAATTGTTCTGTTGCAGTATATATGAATGCAAACTCCATTCTGTACACTTGATCACAGCTGTTACTATGCATTTTTGATGAATAGATATCGTTGAATGATGATAGATGACAACATTTTAATTAAAAATAAGTAAAAAGGATGTAATTAAATCATTTTCGTTCAATTCTAACTCATTTCATCCATATAAAGGTATATCTATTGATATACTTGTAAAATAAATGAGTGAAGCATACAATTATTTCTATATTTTTTATGTCTTACCTGAGAAAAATTTGTACTAAATATACATTTCTTTTTTTTTTGCTATATTCTTTACAAATATTATGCAGTGGAATATTTTTTTATTAGAGTTGTAAAATCATTGATTTTATTTTTGTCGATCAAGAGAAAATCTCTTACAATATTATGTTGAATTATTAATCATCTGATGTTCGAATAATTTGAAAGTTTCATATAGAGACAAGAGATATCAATAATAAAATATAATGTCATTGTTTTCTTATTGAAATAGGAACTGTCCTACACTCTATTCTCTTTTTTTACTAACAACCAAACAAACTAAGAAAGTAATAAAACAAAAGAACTTCTTTTTTGTTAAGTCTTTGAAGACGATGAAGAAGAACCACTTGCTAAATGTTGTCGATGTAATTCTTCACATTTTGGTTTTAATTTTGCGAATTCATTTTGAATTACATCAGTTACTGCTTTACGTATTTCTTGCTATAAAATAAAATAGATTCAATTAAACAATTCAAAAATTTATTAATTCATTCATACTAATGATCGATTTTCTTTTTTCATTTTTTCTACCAGATCATCTAAGATAAGCGGTTCACCAACATAAATACTTACTTTTTGACTCATTTTAGGAGTATAAGGTTCTACATTAGGCAATACAGAATCCATTCCTAATAAATAAAAATAAAAATTTATGATTATGTTTCAATATTTTTCGTACCAAGATGATAGAACGGAACAACTAATGGACAAATCTTAGCTTCAGCAATAAGACGACCAACACCTAAAATTTTTACTTTATTATAATATGTATTCTAGTTTGAATTTACCCCATTTAAGTCTCATTAATTCTTTTGTTAAATTTACTTTTGCTAAAAGATAAATTCCAAATAAAAACTAGTACACATATACAATATTCAAATACCCTCAGGAAAAACATGCACCCAATCACCTTGATTTATTCGTTCTAATGCAAAATCCATCGGTCGTTGATAAACACCAGCACCACGTTTTACTGGTATTGTTTTACCCAAACTGAAGAAACGTTGGTGTCTTTTTACTGTAAATACAATATCATCGGCACCCAATGACCAGCGCATTCGTTGACGATTCCAAAAAACACGATATGGCATAAGACCTCCTACAATAACAATACATATGGATTAATAATGAGAATTTTTAAAAAATTTTAAATCATAACAAATCATTGAATGAAGCTACTAGAGAGAAGGAAAACTACCGTTTATATACCGATCAACAGTGGATCATCCAAACCTATTTAATTAGAGTTTATGATTAATAACAATACATATGACAAAGATTTTACAAGAATGATGATTAGCGGTAGTAATTAATGGTCGTTTCGGATCTCGATGAAGAACAGTATTGAGAAGAATATCACCTTTCAATAATAAAATTCTATGAAATGTAAACACATAATAATTCTTACCATTTTCAATTCGAACTGAAGTAATATATTCTATGAATAAAAATAAAATCTCTTTCTTTCCTTGTTTTATTTTTTGCATATGATGATTGACGACTTACTCATCCAAAGTCTACTCAATGTTCCAACAAGTCCAATTGTCACTGTCGATAATGCCTTATAATATCTAGTAGGTCTTTCTGGAAATGGCCAATTAAATGAGAGTGGCATGATCTAAAAGAGCATCATATATCCTTTGATTTTTATTATTATTACATTCAGCTTTTGTATACTACTTCCAATGTTAAAGTTTTGATTTAACTATTTTTCTTTTCTTCACATATCGAATATATTGTATCCACAAAAAAAACAAAAAGCACAAAAACACAACTATAATTTCACTACACACAAAAAAGGCCACAAACAGTTAGGAATGTAATCAAACATATTCGTTTTATTCAATTGTTTTCTTTTGATTTTCACTACTCCTCCATCATTTATCCTTATTGAAAGACACAACAAATTACATTAAAATCTATTTTTTTCTATGTAAGTCTATTCATAAGAAGATATTGATTTTGATTTATAGGTCTTTTTCGCCAGTAACAGTTTCTTTGACTTTCTCAGCAGCATCAGCAACTTTATCTTTAACTGCATCAAGTGTATCAGTAGCAGATTCTTTAAGTGATTTAAATGAAAGAAGAATATTTGCACGATGTTGTAATTCTTCTCGTTTTTCACTGGTAATCTAAAATAAAATTATAAAATATAATTATAATAGAAACTTAGATTTCAAGGTATTGATCTCATTACAAAAATTCAAAATTTCTCATTTTATTTATCAAAAACATCAATCTACTAATTTAATAGAAACTTAAAGAGATCAATTTGATAATAAGAAGATTTCTCAAACATTAGTATATTATAAATTTGTAATAAGTTTTAATTTTTTACTTACCTTTCCTTTTAATAAATTTTGTACACGTCGTCCTTCACGTTTAAGGAATTCGGTACCTTGTTTAATAACTGCTTCCATTATTTTTAAATAAGAGTCACCACTATCGTAAGATAAATACTCATGAGTTATTTTAAAAAGACATATATTTGCATTTCTTTTTACCTCTTTTGATCTTTTTTTTCCACTAAACCTTTAACTTGTTCTCGCACTTTTTCAAGTAATGATTTTTGACTTGTTTCATCATTTGATGATGATGCGTCAAAAAATTCTCGAGCTATACGATCTAATGCTTCAAGTGTACCAGGTAAACCAAACCAAAGATCTAAAAATAATTATAAATGTTTTTTGCTTATATTTAAAATAATTTTATTTTTTTTTACTTGTATTTTGTGAAAGAAAACGTTTAAGATCATCTTCAGTGTTATCACCTGTATAATCAATTGGCTTAGGTTTTCCTTTAATAAATAATTTATATGCTGGATAATCAGCTTTAGTTACACTATATTCTTTAGCTAAAGCTTCATTTTCTTTTTCACCATAATCTGTTATTGGAATTTCAGCTAAAACAAGATTTTTTGTATTAGCTACACTTTCAGCAAATTTCTTAAATTGATCTTGTTTATCACCATAAGCTGAAAAAGAAAACCATCAAATCTAAATTTAATAGAAGTTCTCTTTAAAAAATAATAATACATACGATATTTATCATCAAATTTTGCTAAGACAACATCAAAATTACGTATAATTTTGTCAAATGTAAACGAATCAACAGTTACTGTTCCTGGTGTATGAGCTCTGTTTGATGTAATTAGTAAGAAGAGAGCAACGCAAAATGAATAGAGAACTTTCATTGTTTAGTAAAAGTAACGAAGAAAAAAGAAATATGCAATCTGCAATATTAAATTGATGAAAATGAAATAGTGTCTCAAATAAAAAAAGGACAAATATATGTAACTAGCACGAGAAGGAGAACAAATGCAACCAATGAGAGACTGACGCGCTTTTGCATGTCATCGATAGTAGTGACATCGATTACCTTTTCGATTTAGAAAGTTCCGGAATGAAAAAAAAAAGTAAGTATATCCTTTTTAATATATTCATCATCCTTGATTGGATTGACGAGAAAGAACAAGACAAAGTTTAATGAAAGAAAAATAAAATATCAAAAAGCTTAATTCAACAAATGCTGAGATAAATATTGCTTTTTCTGACAAAAGGAAAAAACTAAGGAGAAATTGAGCTACATAAATGTGCGCGATTAACACATACGCTTGAATATAAATATAAATATAAATAAGCACAAAAAAGAAAAAAAAATCATGGATATTGATTGATACTAGCCGTGTACAAAATATTTATACACGAACGGAAAATTGTTTTTTTTTCCTGAAAACCAATAACGAAAAAAATCAGACTTGAATATGATACATAAAATTAAAATAATGTAAGATTAGTTTTTGACTTTATAATTCCAGTTTCTTCTTAGCGTCTTTAAGAAGTTCTTCAGCTTTTTCTGTACCGGCTTTATACACTTGTTCAACATTTTTTTCAACTTTCTCAAGTGCTTCTTTGCCATATTCTTGACCCATTTCAGCAGCCTTGGTTGCATATTCCTTTCCAACTAAAAGAAAGACAATTGATAAATTCTTTTTTTCTTTTATTTCAGTCGTCAAACCTTCAATGGCTTCTGGAACTTTTTCTTGCAACATTTCGCCGGCTTGAGCTGTGTAGTGACTAGTAGCTTTTAAAGCTTCAGAAGCAAATTGTTTTGCACCTATACAAAGTAACAAAAATTTTATTCGTTTTCTACATTTCTTTTTTTATTTGTTTTTGAAAATCTACTTTTGACTGTTTCAGCAGCAACATCGTCCAATTTTTCTTTAGCTGCTTCTTTGAAAGTTTGACTTTGTTTGAGAATTTCTTCAGCGTATTCTCTAAATAAAGATAACAATTTACTTAATGAATAAAAACAAAATCAAATCAAATCAAAACTTACGTCGCCTTTTCCTTGACAACTTCAGCACCTTGTACTAAATATTCATTACCAGCCGCAGCAGCTGTAGCAGCTTTTTCACCAAGTATTTCAGCATATTCTGTACCAACTTTAGCTGCTTCAGCAGCTTTTTCCTTAAGAATATCAGTTGCTTCAAGAACTTTTTCCTAAAGCAAGACATTACTAACAAAGTTTACTTTAATCGATAATACACACTTTAACAATTTCAGCACCTAAAAAAAGAATAATTTCATTTAATTAAAAAAAAAAAAAGAATTTTTATTTCCTACCAGCGGCAGCTGTTGGTGCAATATATTCATTGAACGCTTCTTGTGTTTTTTCAATACCAGCTTGTGCTGTAGGAATAACATATTCGTTGACAACTTCTTGCGCTTTTTCAACAGTAACGTGAGCTGCTTCGACAACTTTTTCTTTTACTGTATTTAATGTATCAGAAGCAACAGGTACAACCTTCAGAATATCAAAAAAATATAATCTATTAATAGATTTTTCTTTATCTTACATATTCGTTGAACACTTCTTGAGTCTTTTGAGCACCAGCAGCACTATATTCTTTTGTTGCTGTAGCAGCATCAGCCACATAATCACCTACAAAGAAAAAGACGTTAATTAAAAATAGTTAAGGAACTAAACAAGTACTAATGTTCATGCCAAAATTACAAAAGGGTGAGTGTAATCTTTAGAACTTGAAAATGGTAACAGCTAACTATCTGCGATTTTCAGACATCGAAAGAAAAAAACTTCGGGCATTTCTTTTTGTCTGACACTATATAAGATCAAATTAATTAACTATATAGATACGTGATTTATTTTACTCAATATTGACGACATATAAATTGACAATCATCTGAATCATGGCTTAAACTATAGATCAGAAGTCCTTCTATCAGAAGCACCTGTCAAAATCAAAACTACGTCGAAAAGAAATACCATTTTCATGCATATTTTGAATATTTTTCAAAGATGATAAGCTTTAAAATAATTTTGTTTTACATAGCATCAGAAAAAAAAAGTCTCGTATTGTTTTTCAATTATGGAAAACGGCAGGTCGACAGCTGTTGCCATTGCCGAGCTATTGAACCTACACCCATCCCTGTTTAATCCTCGCGTGAACACTAGTAAAGATATGAAAGATTAAAATTAATTTTAGAAAATTTCTAATAAAAGTCTTTTCCCTTTCTCTAATTTCAAAGTAATTATTTCTTAACTAACCAGCAGTTTTAGCAGCATCAGTTGCAAATTTTGCTCCAGTCTTAACACCATCCGAAACTGTATCAATAACATTATCTTTGATCTGTGTAGCTCCATCGACAACAGTGTCTTTAATCTGTGTAGCTCCATCGACAACAGTATCTTTAACTGTTTTTTGTTTACCATACGCTATTGAAATATAACATACGATAATAATAGTTAATAAAAATTTGCGGAAAATTTCCATTATTGTTTTGTATTATTGAAATATTCGATTTAGTAAATACTGAAACATATAAAAGCAAAATTATTTTTAAAAAGTTTAATAAGAAAAAAACACTTCTGATTAATTTCCTGTTTATTCGTAAAGATACATAAGCATGGATGTATATAACGAAACACAAAAAAGATAAACTATTAAGAGAAAATAAATGATAAAAATTCTTTCTATACAAATGACTGTTTTCATTTTTTTCCATTACTATTGTATGGATATAATCACATATTGTAAAACAATACTGTCTTCAATATATATATAAATATCCATACTATTAGTTTAGAAAAAAAAATACAAACTGAAAGAAGAAAACACAAAAGTTCTGGAATGATATGATAACTAGTTTAAAAAAAATCATTTGGATAAACAAAATGGTTAGATGGAATTGCGCAGAAATAAATGCTGTGTTTTTTTTACTTGCTTGATTAAATTTGTTACAGATAAATTTTAAAAGAAAAAAAAAAACAACAACAACACAAAATATTATTTAGGAAGAATAGGCTCGAGTAATATAAAATGTCATCATAGAAAAGTAATTAGCAATGAATACTAATTTTTACTGACTAGTTGGTTGTAGTTATTTATAAATCAAGTGTTTCTTTAGCATCTTTTTTCACTTGTTTAGCAGTTTTTTGTGCTCTACCAGAAAGTTCATCAAGTTTTTCTTTAGCTTGATCTGTAAGATCAGCTGTATGTTTAGATGCTAATCCAATACTTTCTAAATAAGAAGATTTTCTTAAGAAAATATTTTTTTTTTTTTAATATTTTTGTTTTACCAAAAATTGAACTTTTAACATCAGTAAGAACATTATAAACTTTATTAAGAAGACCTTCACTTTGTTTTTCAGCTTGTGTTTTTGCATCATTTGCTGTTGACTTAACTTTATCAGCAGCATCACTAGCTTGTCGTTTCAGTTTTTCACCTTGTTCTAATAATAGAAGAAACGCAATTAAAAAAAATATGGAATAAAACATTCGATATTTACTTGATGCTTGTTTAGCTACATTCTCAGCTGTTTGCTTGGCTGATTTAACAGCATCACCAGCTGCATCTTGTCTGAAAATAGGTGATTATAAAATGAACAATTTTTTTTTCATTTTTACATGAACTTACAAATCGTCGATCTTATCACTTGCTTTTTTTCGAAGATTTTCACCAGCAGTTTTAGCTTCATCAAGTTGCTTACTTGCTGTTGCTTTAGCATTTTCAGCAGCTTTTTGACCAGCGGTAAGTGTTTCAGCTGAAAAGAATAAAAAATTTTATATTCGATTATTTTAAGAATAATAAGGAAAATTTTCAATTTGACTATATCAGACAACATAAATGAAGACATTATGTTTATAATTCTTTCAATAAAAATATAACTTACCAGCTTTATCTTTTAATGTTTCAACATTTTCATTGATAGCATCAGAAGCTGATTGAGCAAAAGCTTTAGCATTAGTAAGACCATCATTAACACCATCGACTATTTTATCCTACAAAACAACATCAAAAGTTTAAATATAAATCTTCTTGTTACTTCATACTTTCAATTTTTCGCCTTCATTTAATGTTGCTGATGCTTTATCTTTAATATCATCTTTCAAATTACCATTAACAATGGCAAAACATACAATGGACAAAATTAGTACTCGAAACATAATGAATAATATATGATTTTTTCAATATATTGAATAACAAATTAAACTAAAATAAGAAAAATACAGATAGTTAACACTTACGTGACGCATCTATACGCATCAGTCGAAAAAAATATACTGCGCATTGTGCTGTTTTTCCCTGGCCATAAAAGAAAACATATGGGAGATCATAGAGTACATTAGTGGCACGTGCGGATAAACAATAATATGTCGTAATAACAACAGCGCACTAACCGATCTCAACGAATCATTATATGAGTTCTACAATGAACTTGCTGATGCAGATGCACTAGGTTTTTTTATTTTATAACTCCATGAATTGAAAGCTTGTTTTCACAAGTGTATCGAATATATATATGTCTTTAAGTATCGTATGTGATAACCGTTTAAGGGAATTCAACGAGTTAAGGGAAACAGTGTAAAATGAATAGAGATCACGGTATAGCTCTCATGGCGGACCAATAGGATTCGGAGTCTGTAAAGTATGGGTGTTCTATATTTTACTAAAACTGAAGCTCATTGGTCCGCCATTAGCACTCCAATGTGACCTCTATTCATTTTACAGTATTTCCCTTAACTCATTGGATTCCCTTAAACGGTTACCACAATTGTGTCGTTATGAGGTATTTATTCCGTTGTCGGTTTTAGTATTTTTGACTTTGTTCATATCATTAACTAGCGTCATCTCTAAGTTGAGTAATGTCAATACTTTTAATACGGAAAATAAATTTATGTAAACCAATGCAATCATAGTAGAATAGTTCAATAGGGAAATGAACTATAAAAAATATTGAACATATAGTTTCATTTAAAAAAAAAAAAGATTTATGTATATATTCACAAATATGACGTTTGTTATCAATAGTACATTGCATTTCAACTTTAATAGCAACAAAGAAAACATATAGCTAATAAAATTGATTGCATTTTAGAATTAGAAATACATCAAATGAATCCTCAATTACGTGATCCACTAGTTTTTTCTTGTTCTTCTTGTTGCTGGTTATGGAAGTAATTAACCAATTTACTTACTCAAATAAAGTAAATAGTTTGTAAGCTGTACTATAACTGTGAAAGTGTCTAAGAATATTGATTAGCTTCGGATTAGATGGTGGGTTTAAAAAAAACAAGTGTTAGTACGAGTCTGAATGTAAAAGCACTGTTTTCGTACAGGGCAATAATCGAATGAAAGCGGAAATATTATATTGTTAAAGACATTCATAGTAAAAGCTAGTCACATGAAAAACGGGAAAATGGCCATGTAAATTCATTATTTTCCTAAGATAGATCATTCCAATCATTAAAATGGGTTTTTGTCGATTGAATAATAGTAAAATGATGATTAAAATGGGTTTCAACCAATGAACCCAATAGTTACACCATCGTTCCTTCAGCACCTTTTTTTTTTTGTTCGGAGTATTGAACTTTTGAACAAAATGTTTGAAGCCTATAAAATCTATAGCAATCATTAATTCTGCTTTAACAGTTATTCTTTTTACCATAGCAATAACATTTAGTTAATTGAGTACACTGAATGATGGTAAAAACATTCGATCCTGGTGGAATCACACTACGGTTAGTACTTTCCTGTTAATTTAAAACAACTTAGATTTTTTTGAAAATCTATACTTAAAAGTTAATCTGCATGATCGACAAATTAATTCACTTTACATATAAATAGTTTTCACTCCATTCATATTTAACTCATTCTGAATTCAAAAAATTTTTCTATTTTTTTATGACATAAATTAGGCGAACAAGTGAGAAAAACGAGTAAAAAAACTATGGGAATTTAAGAAAATGATCTCGTAAAAATGCACATTCGTTCGAAAATGTAACAAGTTATGAACACGTTTACATATATTTTTGACGAGTTTCTTTTCGTTAAAATTTCAACATATTTTACAGTTTTTTCTCGCATGCGCGTCTGTTTAATATAAAATATCAAAAAGAAATAGAGTAATTTAATTTAACTTAAAATTTAACATATATGATAATTTGAGTGAAAATAATTCATATGTAGAACAAACAAAAACTTTCTAGCTCATGAGCCAGTCCATGTAAGCCACGACCGAAGTTGCTCAATTGATATCGTCAGATTTTGCTCAATTTAAGGTATGTTGTAGAGGGAAGAGTTTTATGAATTTTGATGCAAGCCGATTCAAAAAATATTGATCCGTCAGTTTTTTATGAGTATTGTACGAAAAGGCCTAAAAATGACCCTATGTATGAATGGGAGTCCTAATGCAACGATATCTCACGAAGAGCTCAACCAAATGAGCTGAAATATTTTACTGCCATATATCTCAGTGAGTTCTATTTATCATAAAATTTTCGTTTTAAAATATTGAGCCATTGGGATTTATGAAGCATTCAATATATGAAAAAACGTCCATTTTCAGTAAGTTTGGCGCTTCATAAGTTTTGATAGAAATGACATATAGGTCTGAAATTTCCATTGTTGATAGGATACTGAGAGATATATTTCTTCTGAAAATTTCAGCTATCCATAACGTTCTATTTGCTCAGGGCAGTCCAGTGAAAAACGAAATTTTGATAAATGTGGGAACTTTTAGGATAGGCTTTCTCCCAAGATACGGATTGTCTGGAGCACTAGTCTTTAGAACTTTGAAGTACTCTCTTTGGGCTACAACTCTGTAAAAAAAATTACCGTCGGATCTCCAACAACGGCCCCAGAGCACTCGTTGCAAAATACAAAAAAATGAGCCTTTTCTATAGGAAATCTACTCAAGTGCACTTCGAAATTACTTACATTGTCCTTTTATATAAGATATATTTTATCTGGTAACAATCAGCATTCAATTCTGTATTATCCTGTATCGAAATATCCTTAGAAAGTAAAACAAAAAATTTTTTCGAAAAATTCTCGTAGGGGGCTACAGGGGCTGTGAGAATAAGATGTTACAGGAAGAGGCCTGGAGGGGGGTGGAGGGATTTCTTGTAAAAATTCTTTTTTTTTCATTTTGAAAGGATGTTTTGATACAAGGTAATAGAGAATGAAATGCTGATTTTTACTACATAAAATTTATATCACATAGTAGAATCCTTGGAGGAATTTTGAAGTGCACTCGGTTAGATTTCCTATAAAAAAGGCTCATTTTTTTGTATTTTGCAATAAATGCCCTGAGATCATTCTATGAGATCCCACGCTAATTCTTTTACAGAGTTGTAGCCCAAAGAGAGTACTTCAAAGTTTTAATAACCAGTGCCCCAGACAATCCGTATCTTGGGAGAAAGCCTATCCTAAAAGTCCCCAAATTTATCAAACTTTCGTTTTTCACGGGGCTGCTCTGAGCAAATAGAACGGTATGGATAGCTGAAATTTTCAGAAGAAATACATCTCTCAGTATCCTGTCAACAATGGAAATTTCAAACCTATATGTCATTCCTATCAATAGCTATGAAGCGCGAAACTTACCAAAAATGGACCTTTTTTTTATATATTGAATACTTCATAACATCCAAATGGCTCAATATTTTGAAACGAAAATTTTATGATAAATAGAACTCACTGAGATATATAGCAGTAAAATATTTCAGCTCATTTGGTTGAGCTCTTCGTGAGATATCGTTGCATTAGGACCCCCATTTATATATAGGGCCATTTTGAGGCCTTTTCGTGAAATGCTCATAAAAAACTGACGGATCAATATTTTTTGAATCGACTTGCGTCAAAATTCATAAAACTCTTCCCTCTACAACATATCGTAAATTGAGGAAAATCTGACGACATCAATTGAACAGGGTCTCTATGAAGTCGGTCGTGGCTTATAGGGGCTGGCTCATATATACTTTCTTCACTGATCCTTATTATATATTTAGATGTCACTTCATATATATTTATTAATATTAAATTGTTTATTTAATTCATTCAAAAGATTAAGCGAATAATATTAGTGTCATTATTTTCTTTACTTATTCTTATTGTATATTTAGCATTTTTATCAAAAGATGCGAGAAGTAATAACTTTGTCTTTGTTTTTTATTAGTCATTTCTTTGCTGTAGTACTTTGAGGCACTTTGATATTTGGGATAAAGTATCGGCAAATACTTTGTCAATGAAAACGAATACCAATATATAATTTGTTTCAGATGTCTATTGGCAACGTTGTATATTTGAATAGAAAAATAATCAGTTGCATTTATCTCTGAAGTCAGAGAAATTTTACAGTAACAAGGAATATCATCATTCATTGAAATACTATTAATGGTTAAAAGAAAACAACCAATAACAGCAGGGTAAGTATGCTCTTCGCCGAAAACCAGATCGCAGAAATTCGGCGAACTCGGTTTCGACGAAGTGTCATTTCGATGATGCGACAGTCGACAATTTGCCGATTCAATAATGTTACTATCTACCATATCACTATCTGTGATGTTTCATTTCGGCGATTTCTATTACAACTGCTGAATCTGCCCATGATAATCTCAGACAATACCAGCAGTATTAAAACGTTTTCGTACTGTAGTTATTCATGTTTATTGTATTTAGTAATTACAGTAATGGATCAAATCAGTGGCTAACTTGAAATGATTATCAAGGTAAATTAGTGACTGTAGATTGAAACATCACTAACTAAACTTAGTAACTAAGTTAACTCAGTCAGTAAGTAACTTAGTCACTAAGTCAAATTAGTGAGAAGCTTGGCTTAGGAACCGAGCTCGTAATTAAATAAGTTGTTATATACTGGAGGTTTTACAAAAAGACAAGATCGCAATTTCTGATGTGAACATTAAAGTTGAATATTAGTTACTGTACATGTCAAGAAACGTATCTAATAGGTTTTCTGAAAGGGAGAACGGAATTCATCATCTTCGAATCGTGCATTAGCAAAGTGAAGTACAACAATAAAGATGGCTGAAAGATATTCGGCGATCTTCATTTCGATGAACTTCCCATCGACTATCTGTATTTCGATGATGTTGATTTCGGCGATCTTCCTTTTCGGCTATGCTTGTTTCGGCGATGAGGCATACAA